GAATCTTATTCATTGAGGACCGTGTTTAATAATCATGTGTTTTGAATTCATATTATAAAACATACAGAGTATCATTTGAAGAAAGAAAAAGTACCAAAAGTGGAATAAATTCTACCTTAGGGGAAAGTTCTAATAAAAATAGTACAATTTTTCCCCTTTTCGCTTAGAAATATACTTTTTTGAGGATTAAGTTTACAAAATGTTCCGTATTTAAATCTATATATCACAAATAAAACTCAAACCATTCAAATCTGCATTCTTTTGTTCAGGAAAAATTGTGCTTTCAAAAAGGTACCAAACAATTTACTCGAATTTGGTCCTATATAGGCCTTAGTACTCGAATTCCAAAATAATATACCAATAGCTTATTTTATGCGAGTAAATAAACTACTTTTTCAAATTTTATAAAAAATGGTTCAATGAGTTTGAATAAAATTAAATTTCCCGTTTTTCCCCCTTTTTGGTACTTTTTTCCCCAGTGAAATAGCAAACATTTTGTTTCAATAAGTATTACAAAGTTAGTCCGTAATTTAATAGGAATACTTCAATAAAAAAAATACTTCAAAAGAAAAAGTTTTCTTAATGTGCTAAAAAAAAGTACCAAAAAAGTCCCTTTTACACCCAAAAAGGGCTGAATTTTAAAAAAGTACAAAACAAAACTAATTTTGGGAGATATATATAAAATATTTACAAAAATGTTATTTTGTTTATTGGTTAAAAAGTTATAAAGGTCCAAAAAAGGTACCAAAATCACCTTTGTTGCACATTTTCACCCCTTAAAAGTACGAATTTCAAAAAAGTACCAGACACCCATCTGCTTATTTTGAGAGTAGATACATGTGCATTTCAAATTATTCTTGTATCTCTAATATTAGGTAAGATAATTAAGAAAACCAGTTTTACCCGTAGGCTATTTTCTAAAAGGTATATTGGATCAAGGGCCAAATATGTTAAAAGTTTTTATATTTCTGACTATTTTGTATCGATCTTTATAGACTTTATGACGAAACTTTATCCGAATGTATATATCGCTAGGTTGCCTTATATTTGAGGTCGCTATAGATCGATCCATTCATTAATTGTTATGTACATTGGGGGAAATTCGACAAAGGGTCTTTAGTAGGACTTGACCGAGCTCTGAAAGAGTGATTAAAATCATACATCTTTCTGAAGTATTATCTTAATTCTATCATTTTTAAAGTATTTATGAAATTCATTTAGGAAAACATTTTAAAGTTATTAACCCTAGCTGTTTCCTATAGGGGTCCTCAAATGCCAATTATAACGATTGTAACATAATTCACTTATTTAAGATTGTTTAACTCTTTCACGTATACGCGATACCGGTTTTACTCGATGAAGAGCATATTTCAGGATATTTGTATGGGGTCTAGGTGAAATCGTGGACAGATATTATTAGCCATTTTCAATGACTATTTTTGTGAAAAATTAGCAAACATCACGACTGTATAACGTTGGAACCTGTTAAACGATTTTAACAAATGAACTGTAGTTTGATAGTACAAAATATTCTAGTTGCCCTAATACAATTATTGTAAATTTGTTTGTTGCTAACCTCAACAAACTTATAATGTCACTTTAATCAATAAGATTATAAATGAGATCAGTCGGACAACGGTTATATATGGCACCTTAATAATGATCAAAATAGGTAACAACTTTATAAGTTTACTACTTCCTATTTTGTTTACGCATAAAAAATGCCTATTATAAGTCAATTAAATATGTAATGTGCCATTTTTTAATTGCTTTAACACACATTTAAACATAAACGTATGTATATACTTACAACAATTAATTTGTTTATTATGAATTTTATTTTATTAACTTTCTACTTACAAGTAATCTAATGGAAGGTCATTAACTTGTATTAATTGGTAGTCTAATAAAATGCATTTAAAGTTGTAAAAATTCATTTAGAGGAAATTTTTATTTATTCAGTTTACAATTAAAAGTTAGCCCCATCTCAGCAACCTAATATTTCGTCACTTTCAATCAAAAACAAGTAAGAAAGTATAGTCGGGCGTGACCGACCATATGATACCCTACACCAGTTATGAATATTAAATGTGATTTATTTTTCATAATAAAGCATTTATCTTCTATTACCATGTTCCGATACATTTAAGCAATTTATGGATGAAAAACTAATTTTCTGAAAGAGGCTTTATATGGGGGCTAGGGTCAAATATGGACCAAGCCTGATAAAATTTTTTGAATATATTTATATTTACAAAATATTTTATTGTGCTTAATTTCATCGCTATATTTGTGTTTATAAGTTAATTTTGGACATTCAAGTCATTTTCTGAAGGAGACTTTGTATGGGAGCTAGGGTCAAATGAGGCCCGATCTCTATGAAATTTGGCAAGGTCAACAAGGCTTGTATAAAACTTAGTTGTGCCGCTTTTTATCAATATACAGGTATATTAAACATAATTATGAGCTCAGAAGCCCTTTTCGGGGGGTTCTGTTTTATGGGGGCTAGGTGAAATAATGGACCGATTTTAACCATTTTCAATAGGCTTTGTCCTTGGGCCGAAAAAGGAGTGTGTGCCAAATTTCATCCAATTATCTTGAAAATTGCGACCTGTACCTTGCGCACAAGGTTTACATGGACAGCCAGCCAGCCAGCCAGCCAGCCAGACGGACGGACGGACATAGCTTAATCGACTCAGAAAACGATTCTAAGCCGATTGGTATACTTTAAGGTGGGTCTAGGACGAATATTTTTGTATGTTACAAACATCAGCACAAACCCAATATACCCTCCCCACTAAAGTGGTGTAGGGTATAATAAAGTGGTGTAGGGTATAAATACAAATTTTAATCAACTTTGATGTGTTTTAATTATTATCGTTGCTCTTTTTTTAGTTTGTCTCGCCTAAAATAACAAGTGGAAATTATCAAGTTGTCATTGATATGAATATAATTTCCGATTAAAAGCACTTGTTCGTAAAAATGTAAGTTTTCTTACTGACAATAAAAAGCACACTCAAGCTTATTTTACACCAACATCTGTTCGTATATATGTACATATTAATACTTAGAGTATAGTACTTTCTAAAATATAATAATGAATTAAAAGACAAAAACACAACTCATACGCTTACTTAGAACGACAAATTGAGTTAAATATCAGAATAAAATAAATGCAGAACAGAATAGTCACAGTAAAACATCGTTAATGCATTAAATGTTAGTAAATCTGAAAAGATTTATTAATAGATCAACAAACAAATGTTTCTGTATAACAATAAAAACGCTTTAGTTAGATGTAAGGAATTTTGTAAATCTATCACCTAAAGGTAAATATAGTTAAAATGGTTTGATTTTAACTGAAAAATATTTTTTTTATTTAAGTGTTTTTTTGCTTAAAAAAATTGGGTTAAAAAAATATTGTAAAAACATAGACCGATTCTAAGGTTTTTAAAACTTATTTAAAGAATTAACCAAAGATAATATTCGAATACATAAATCCCTATATTTAGTTGTAATTTAAATTTTATGCATAAATCATGTTAAGAAAATGAAACTGAGAGTGTTGAATATACACTCCCGCTCACTTAAATTGGTTCACTGTTTTGTTTATATTCAAATTAATTTTTTGCAAAAAATAATGGACTAATTGGTTATATTAAAATTTTAAATAATAACATTATGTCTTAGGTATCACTAGTGAGACAAAAATTAGTGCAATACTTAATAACCGATTTTTAATAATTTTTTTTTCTAAAATACTACGTTTTGGAACAAAATTTTTTTTGGCTTATTTTAATAGGTTCGTCATCTTTAAATGACAAAAACAACAACAAATTGCATTTTTCATGAAACATTTTTACAAGGTTTTAGAAAAGATTTACTAAGGAACATATCCGCCATTACTGATATAACTCCGAAAATTCGAGGTGATAAAGAGTTATAAAGATTCTTAAGTAATGGCAAGGAAATTTCGGTCCAAGCCTTTTTAGTTCCTTCAATACTGTCTGCCCGACCTATACACATTACGAGAAAGAATATCCGAAACCTTTTCAATAATAAATAGATGAGAAGATTATGGAGGCCACTCCAAAATTTTTACATTCTGGCTTCGAATCCACCCTTTTACAGCCCTGTCGGTATGGATCGGGGCATTATATTTTTGAAATATCCACGGCAATGGTTCAAAGATATCCGAAAATGTGAAAAAAGCTGTTTCCAGTATGACATTACAATTATTACAATTCTTACTAGATGAAACAAATTTAAGCTCACATGTTTCATAATACGAAATTACCCCCCTGCTGTAACACCCACTTTTTCTCTAATTTTTGCTACAGAATCACTTGACTTGGAGGAACATTTTATGAAATCTCTTCTATCCGCTTTTGTTTTGACTCTATATTCAGTTCCATTTATGTTTTCCTAATATTCAAACAGTTTTCTTATAAAATTGCGAATAACATTCTGAATTTGGCCAATTTTTTTTGCAAATTCCTGTGATTTTGGACAGCTTCCAATTTTAGACGCTTGAATTTTGCCATTTTATTCTTTAGTTGATGGCTTACCGCAACCTATTTGTTAAAAAATATATTGTCTATATTCACAGACAATAGAATATGAATGGATTTTACTCACTGCCAGCAGTAAACTGATTTTATTCTGATTGAACCTAATCAAGTCAGCCAAAAAAATATAGCTAAAAAACGTAGTATGTTAGTAAAAAAAATTATTAAAAATCCGCTATTAGGTATTGCGCTAATTTTTGTCTCACTAGTGATACCTAAGACATCATGTTATTATTTAAAATTTTAATATTACTAAATAGTCCATTAGTTTTTGCAAAAAATTAATTTGAATGTAAACAAAACAGTGAACCTATTTAAGTGAGCGGGAGTGTATTTATCTAGATATAATAGTTTATAGACAAGTACAAATCGACATTTATGTGAATTAGAATAATAAATATTTTTAATTGTTTTAAGATAATACATACATACCACTACTAACAACGACATCATAATCATTATATGTAAACAGGCGCAGCAGCAGCAGCAACAGTTGGGGCAATAGCAAACGCAAAAGCAATATCTATTAGTCAATGGAGGGCTGCAAAAATAAAATAAATACAAAAATACATTAGTTTTTATTTTCTAGCTTAACATTTATTTATCTGTTCTCAAAAGATTCAAGAATTATCAATGAAAAGGTTTCAACAATATTTCTCATTTCAACTAACAGCAGTTATTAAATAGACAAACTCAATGACAGTAGTAGTTGTAGGACAAGTTGTGGTAAAATATTATTAGATATAATGTGTAGTCGCAGCAACAAAATAAAAAGATTCGATCCAACTGCTGAAGAACAAGCATTTTTAAATAGTGAAAATGTAAATTTCAATAGTTTAAACGAAGATGAAATTGAGTGGGTGCAATCACAACGTCTCTATCATATATTGGGACAAGGTGGCCTGTGGCAAATAGTGTGGTGTTTTATATTATCCATGTTCCAAGGCGTTTCCACATTTCATATATTTACGTTTGTTTTCCAAGTAAGTTTGTTCAGCGATATCATGTTTATTACGTTACGATTACGATTACGAATTTTTAGTCATTACGTACATATAACTGAATGCATAGTGTGCAGTACGTGTATGAATTTAATTGCAATTCAAAATTCTTGTATTTATTACATTGCAACATCTTTTTTATTTATTTTGTTCGTTTTTCTTTTTTTCCATTATTTGTACTTATAAAGTATTTTTTTATTATTTTTGCTATTAATTTTATTGCCAATGTTAATAATTTTTTTTGTTACCGCTTCAATGTTAATGTTGTTGTGGTTGTGTTGTGTTTTATTTCATACTAATATTAATTTAATTATAGTTAATTAAAAATGTATTTTAGGCAATACACATTGTAAAATACAAGATACCAAGAACTATAGTTTATTAACTATAATTGCAATATTTCTGCATGAAATTGTTGAAACGAATGTCTGTGCATTATAAAGCAAATATAAAATATTAACCCCGTAATTCCCCTAAAATAGTTTATATTTGTTAATAAAAGCTTGATTGAATTTACATTAAAATTACAGTTTTTAAGGCCCCATATATGGTCCCCTTATAAATAACTGAACGCAATCTCTCTATAAAGTTTCATAAGGATCGGTTCATAATTGCTCTTAGCCCCATATAACATCTCATATAGAAAATCTTTTTATTTTCTTCGGGATCCAAATCTTTAAAAATCCAAAAATATGGGTTTAGGGGATTTTTGTTTTTGATGTGACAATTTTGTCATTCTGTTCCATTTAAAGAATACTATATTTGCAAAAGGAATCATCCCATTCGGAACCTTGTTTTCCAAAATATGGATTAAAATATGGCGATATCATACGTGACAAAAAACGGAAGTGTTTTTAAAGTACATGTAAATATTTACGAAAATCTGCGAATTCTGTAGGTGTATCTTTATACCCACCATCAAAAAAAATGGGGGGTATATTGATTTTGTCATTCCGTGTGTAACACATCGAAATATTGCTCACAGACCCCATAAAGTATATATATTCTGGGACCTCGTAAGATTCTAAGACGATCTAGCTATGTCCGTACGTCTGTCTGTTGTTGGCACGATAGCGTCCACAAAAAAAAAGATATTGAGATGAAATTTTCCCAAAATATTTTTTATTGATCAGAAATGTTTGGTATTGAAAATGGCCAAAATCGGTCAACGATTTCCATAAAAATGTACCCATACAAATGTACCCCGGAATATTGTGTAAAAAGCTTCAAACATTCACAAATTCGTTGTTTATGAAGCAAATGGCACAAAATTTAGCATAAGTCAGTTTTTTGACCTCCGAAATAAAATTCTGAATTATGTCGGACATAGAACCACAATTGGCCCTACCCCCCATATAAGGTCCCCTTTTGAAAATTACTATAATTCTGATTACTGGCTTAAACATACGAATATAGCGACGAAATTTGCTAAACATGGGTTTCTTGCAAGCCAATATCTCTCCACCAAACTATATGTGGATCGGTCCATAATTGACCCTACCCCCCATATAAGGTCCCCTTCAGAAAATGACATTAACGGTCGTTATTGTCGTAAAAATACGAGTATAGCGATGAAATTTGACACAAGTAAGTTTTATATGAGCCAAAATCTCTCTACCAAATTTTATGTGGATCGGTTCATAATTGGCCCTACCCCCCATATAAGGTTCCCTTCAGAAAATGACTTTAACGCTCATTATTGGCGTAAAAATACGAGTATAGCGATGAAATTTCACATAAGTAAGTTTCATACGAGTAAAAATCTCTCCACTAAATTTCATGTGGATCGGTCCATAATTGCCCCTACCCCCCATATAAGGTCCCCTCCATAAAATCACTTTAACGCTCATTACTGGCTTAAAAATACGAATATAGCGATGAAATTTCACAGAAGTAAGTTTTATATGAGCCAAAATCTTTCTACCAAATTTTATGTGGATCGGTCCATAATTGGCCCTACCCCCCATATAAGATCCCCTTCAGAAAATGACTTTAACGCTCATTATTGGCGTAAAAAGACGAGTATAGCGATGAAATTTGACATGAGTAAGTTTCATACGAGTAAAAATCTCTCCACAAAATTTCATGTGGAACGGTCCATAATTGCCCCTACTCCCCATATAAGGTCCCCTCCATAAAATTACTTTAACGCTCATTACTGGTTTAAAAATACGAATATAGCGATGAAATTTTACAGAAGTAAGTTTTATATGAGCCAAAATCTCTTTACCAAATTTTATGTGGATCGGTCCATAATTGGCCCTACCCCCCATATAAGGTCCTCTTTGGAAAATGACTATAATGCTGATTACTGGCTTAAACATACGAATATAGCGATGAAATTTGACACACGTAAGTTTCATGCAAGCCAATATCTCTCCACCAAACTATATGTGTATCGGTCCGTAATTGATCCTACCCCCCATATAAAGTCCCCTCCATAAAATTACTTTAACGCTCATTATTGGCATAAAAATACGAGTATAGCGATGAAATTTCACAGAAGTAAGTTTTATATGACTTCTCTCTACCAAATTTTATGTGGATCGGTCCATAATTGCCCCTATCCGCCCATATAAGGTCCCCTTCTGAAAATGTCTTTAACGCTCATTATTGGCGTAAAAATACGAGTATAGCGAAGAAATTTGACAGAAATAAGTATCTTAGGAGCCAAAACCTTTATGTGGATCGGGCCTTAAATGACCCTATCCCGCATATAAGGTCCCTAACAGAAAATTATTTTAACGCTCATTACTGGCCTAAAAAAGCGAATAAGGCGATGAAATTCGATATAGTTTTGTATGAGCTAACATCTCTCTACAAAATTTTGTGGGGATCGGTCCATAATTGACTCTACCTTTCATTTAAGGTCCCCATCAGAAAATAACTTAAACGCTCATTACTGGCGTAAATGAAATTCGATGTAATTCGACATAAACTAATTTTTAGCTAAAATCTCTCTACCATATTTTATGAGGATCGGTCCATAATTAACCTTAACCCCGTATAAGGTCCCTTTAAGAAAATGACTTTAATGCTCATTACTGGCTAAAAAATACAAGTAGATCTATGAAATTTCAAATAAATAAACTGAAATCTTCCTACCGACTTTTGTGAGAATTGGTCCATATGTGTATATATAACCCTACTCCCTATATAAATTAACATATTTAATTCGAAAGAGCACTGTCAATAGTTAAACCTCCATTAATGGACCTCTTTCAAATATTACAATGATGTTCTCATTAATATCGATACATAATAATAAAATATTCAAAATATCAAAGTTTATTTATATGACAGTGATTTGATGGTGGGTATATAAGATTCGGCATAGCCGAATATAACACTCTTACTTGTTTTTGTTTTAATTTTTTACACTATGGGACATATTGTTCATTAGTAATCCATAATTTTTAAATAAAAAAAAATTCATATAATTTTATAATGAACATTTTTAAATATCGTACGTGACACATCGTATGTAACGGATTTTTCTCCTGATTTTTTTTTTAGGTTATAAAATATATATTTTGGAAATATATACATACACACACTTCAACAAAGCAAAAGGAGTAGGAAAGTGCAGTCGGACATGGCCGACCTATATACATGTTTAAGCAATTTATAGATAAAAATAAAAAACTGTAGTTATATGGTGACTAGGGTCAAATATGGACTGATCCCCATAAAATTCTAGGGTGTGATTTTAATTCATATAAAACTTATTTGTGCCAAATTTTATCATAATACTAGTGATTAGAGGTGAGTGACGGTCGTTTAAGTGTTTTTCTGATATTAAACTTTGAATGGAACTAGGGTCAAATGAGGTCCAATCGTTATGAAAATCGGCATAAAGGTTTAGGCTTATAAACATTTTAAATCTGAAGGGATAGTATTATAATTAACAGAATTATGAGCTAAAAAGTGATATTTTCGGGTCCGTTTGTATGGCGGCGAGGTGTAAAAATTAACCAATTTCAATAATGTTCAACAGTCTTCGTCTTTGGTCCTACAAAAGATTATATACCAAATTTTGTTGAATTATCTTAAAAAATGCAGAAGTTATAAGGGTTTTATTTTTTTCAGTCGTGGTTTACCTTTTCATGGAATTGTCCATATGTTAACCATTTATGGCCAAAAATTTTGATTTCTTTATTAACAAGAGGAAAAAAATTTTTGATTAAAAACTAAAACTCTGTTGAATATAACTCTTAGTTATAGTTATCAAGACTTATTTTAGAATTAAAAAACACCTAAATCATCACTATGTATTGAGCTTCTTGTAAAAAATTATGCATTTAATGGGTTTAGTGCATAATTTTTACTAAAATAAAAAGGTTCTTAGCCCATAGTGCAGTTGGAAAAATTACTATATTTATTTTTAACATCTAAAAGGTTTTATTTACATTTAAACTTAAAATGTAAATCACAAAAAAAATAACGCATTTTATTTTGTCATTATAAAATCTTCAAGATATTTAAAACAAAACACAGTTTTAATTTTAGTTTTATGACGAGAACATCTGCTTGTTGTTGAAAGTTTTAAAATTCACTTTAAGTTTTAATGCAATCCTCCTTAAATGATAATAAAATTTGTGAAGAAATTGAAACGGATTTACTACTGCAAACAGGCGGAGGAAGTTATGCATGTGATGAGCTGGTGGAAAGGAAACAAAATAAAATATTTGAAATAAGTCTTGGTAACATTGGCCGATGGCAGGCAAAATGGTGTGCAATTTTATCAATATTTCAATGCATATCGACCATGCACTTATTTTCATTTGTATTTCAAGTATGTAAATTTCATTAAAAACTGATCGATTTGACTTACGTAGTAATATTTATTGGAAAACTAATTAATTACAAGTAAAAAAAAATATGTAAACAAATAGGTATACACAGTATGTATGTTTATTTAGTATATTAATACTACTGTTTGTTTTAGAACTTTAAACTAACAAACAAATTAATATATATAACTAATTAATTTATTGATACCAGGTAACAAGACAAAAAGTGTTTTTGCGTACAGGTTTTGTACATATTTTGTTCTGTTTTTATTGTCGGCCAACTGCTGCAACGGAAGTTCATTGAGCTGAAACATTTGAATTTTGTGTTTTATAACTGGTTAGTTTAGAATTTCAATTGTTACAATATTTTTTTCACATATTTAAACTTCAGTTAGTCAGCCAAACAGTCAGTCAGTTAGTGAATCAAATTATATATAGAACTTTTGCAAAACAGAATTATGTTTTTTACAACCATGAAAATTAAACGCTTGTAAACGAAGTAATTTTTTCGTTTGAAATTGGCCTTTTGCACAACACTGCGTATGTGGATCATGCATTAAAAGTGCTGTAAAGTAATGTGAATGTTGAAAAATTAGAACACTAGTTTTATATATTTGTCTTTCCTATTTACTATTTTACTATTTATATGTTTTATATATTTAGAACAAGTATTTATAAATTACATTTACCTCTTGTCTGTTTACTTGTAAACATAAAAATGTACAATCGTTTGGAATCAAGTTCATGTTGTGTTCAAGTCATGTATTTCACGTAAAATCAATTCAGTTAAATGTGTAATTGCAAGTATTTTACTTTAAAGACATTGTTTTATTTCATTTTAATTTGTATTCCCTCTTTATAATCATTATTTACAATCTTTAATTAATTGTTGTATTTGTTATTTCATTTTATTTGTAACTTGCATACCCTGGGTGCTTCGCTACCCTAACTTAAATACATATAAAATTTTGTTTAGTTTCATAGAAAATTAAAATTGATTAAAAATTTTTTTAATGTTTCAGTTTTATACGTAATATCACGTGATTAAATTCGCATTCAGCAAGAAGCTTGTATTTTTAGTTTCATTCATTTAGCTTCCACATTTTAGAAAATTTCGAAAGTACTATTTGAAAAAAGTACTATAAGTACCTCTAATATTTTATGTTTCTGTGTTCAATAATTTATACAATTCAAAAAATATAATTTGATGAATGAAAAAGTACCAAAAGTCCCTTTCACTAAGGTCCCCACATTTTAAATTTTTTTTCAATATCTATGTTCAATATATCAATATCGTAAAAATATCAAAAAGTAACATCGGAAGAAAAAAGTTACAAAAAAAATCTCTCTCAATAAATTCTCATTTAATAAGGACCGTGTGTTCCGGTTAACCATTATAAAGAATCTAAAAGGTACCATTTGAAGAATAGAAAAGTACCAAACAGATTCAACTTACAGAATATTATTCAGTCAAGACCAGAAATTTCAGAAAATTAAAAAAGTACCATTTATGAGATAAAAAGTACTAAAAAGTTCTCTCTTAAAGAATCTTATTAATAATCATGTGTTTTGAGTTCACATTAAATAACATACAAGGAGTATCATTTGAAGAAAGAAAACGTATCAAAAGTGGAATAAATTTTACCGCTTAGAAATATACATTTTCGAGAATTAAGTTTACAAAATGTTCCGTATTTAAATCTATATATAACAGATAAAACTGAAACGATTCAAATCTGCATTCATTTGTTCCAGGAAAATAGCGCTTTCAAAAAGTACCAAACAATTTAATCGAATTTGATCCTATATAGGCCTTAGTACTCGAATTCTAAAATAATATACCAACAGCTTATTTTGTGTGAGTAAATAAACTACCTTTTCAAATTTTATAAAAATCAATAAGTTTGAATAAAATTAAATTTCCCGTTTTTTCCCTTTTTGGTACTTTTTTCACCAGTGAAATAGCAAAAATTTTATTACAATAAATATTACAGAGTTTTAATAGAAACAATTCAATAAACCGAAAAAGTTTTCTTAATGTGCTAAAAAAAAAAGTACCATAAATACTGTTTTCTCTCTTTTACACCCAAAAAGGACTGAATTTTAAAAAAGTACGAAACAGGTGTCTCATAATTTTGGGAGATGTATCCAAAATATTTATAAAAATTTTATTATGTTAATTAGTTCAATAGTTATAAAGAGCCAAAAAAGCTACCAAAATCACCTTTGTTACACATTTTCACCCCTTAAAAGTACGAATTTCAAAAAAAGTACCAGACACCCATCTGCTCATTTTAGGAGTAGATACAGGTGCATTTTCTTGTATCACTAATATTGTGTAAGATAATTAAGAAAACCTGTTTTACCCGTTTTTTCCCCTTTTTAACCGTAAATATACAAATTTCCAAAAATCCCTCCTTAGTGGATCTACATAACCAAAAACACATCTACTCTCAAAATTTCATGATTAAAGGTTCAGCCGTTTGGGCTGTGCGATAATGAATCAGTCAGTCAGTAACGCCACTCTTTTATTTATATAGATTGCATCAAACCGTACACCATCAGTTATTCTTTATTAAAAAAAAAATTGTTGAGAATTTCTAACTCCGACACTATTTGCAATTTAATTGATAATACAAGCGTTTGAAATATTTTTCAACTCGTACATCTAATTACATTTGAAATAGCGGCCGGAGTAAATACACTGAATACAAATTAAGCATTTTTCTCTATTATATGATGAGTACTTCTGTAAATGCAATACTTATTAATACATAAAAACAAAACATATGTATGTACTCAGGATCCTTTGTTCGTCTGCCTGTTGTACGGGTACGGGTACGACTAGATAAGAGAGAGCTATTTTTACTACCTTTTCTTTAATTATATATTTCACTTTCGTGAAAAGGGTTTATATTGGATTATTATTTTATTTGAAATTTCTACAATTACATTTTGCGACACTGTAGATAGTGACATCGATTTAGCAATGCCAAAAACAATTTTCTAAAGGCCCCAGATATCTGTGGTATCCAAATATTCAATAATTCTACAGTCATAATTTAAAATCAACAAAATCGGTCTATAAATAACGGATATAATCAAAAATCCGAGACAGCCGCTGAAAATTTCGTCAAAATGATGACAATTTTTTTGCATAGACCCAGCAGTTCGGTCGGACAGTCCCGAACTGCCTATTTAACCTACCACTTAGAGTTAACCCTAACACCATGTGCTTGTCCTACGAGGATGTCATGTCATTATGTTTGTTTTTTAAGTCTCCCGACTCTCGCTTAAAATGGGGTCACTAAAATGACGATTATCTTCACCCTCGTTTAAAAAGAGTACATTCGTGACAAAAGATGAATTAGAGTCTACCAGGTGGTTAGGCGTTAGTGGAAATCACTGTCTTTGTCGAACTGTTTGTCACTGGAAACAACAACAATGTTTAGCATATATTTTTGTTATTCTATTTTTATTTTTTGTCACAGCCAGGGACGTGAAACAGTACTTTACTTTAACTTTAATCGGTTTTAGACCATTTTTTAAATCTCCCCCAATTGTATATCGTCATAATAAATGTAAACAAATTAACTCATTACAGACTGCCGATAAAGATTTTTGGTGTGCCAGACCCCAACAAATGAATGGAATGGATGTAACAACATGGAAAAATCTAACACAAACCACAGATTCTTGTTCAATTTTAAATATCGATTATAGTGAAATGAGTACATTGGATTCGCTGTTAGATTATATTAAAACACCACTACAAACATTAAATTATACATCATGTAATGAATTTGAATTTTCCCCCGATGATAGCGAATCAAAGACACTGGTACAGGAATTCGGTTTAGTCTGTTCGAAACGTCAATTATTAAGTGTGGTTGAAATGTGTTTTCTAGCAGGAGCTGCTGTTGGTAGTGTTTCAAGTGGTTGGATATCTGATCGATTTGGTCGTAAGCAGACTCTAATGGGTTTTGCATTTGTTCAAACTACGTTCGGTAAGTTAAATTGCAAATGTAATGAATATGTAGTATGTAGTTTGAGAAAAACTTTAATGACACTTATTTTGATTTATCACTTACATACATGCACTTCGTTTAAAACAACACATTGTAAATTTAAATTACCAAACAGAGTTATAATTTGCAGGATTCTAACGCCATCATTTTAGATAATTATAAACACAAATTGTTATTTACATTCTATTTTTTTTTTTTTTTTGCATTTGTAGGTACTATTTTGGCCTTCTCATCTTCTTTGGCCATGTACATGACACTACGTGTTATAATTGGATTCGCTTCAATGACTGTGGCAGTGGTTAGTTTCGTGCTTGTGGTCGAATTGGTCTCCGGCAAATGGCGTACAATTATTGGCATTTTGAATATTTTACCGGTTGCAGTTACATACGTACTAACAGCAGGAATTGCGTATTTTATACGAGACTGGCGTACGATGCAATTGGTAATATCGTTGCCATGGTTCTTTATTTTGTTCATATGGTAAGTGGAAGTAGAGGATGGGATGGTGGTTTTAGCTTTAAATAAAAATTCATCATTTAGATATTTTGAAATATTTAAGCTCATCCTTTTCTTTTTTTTTTGGTTTTATAACAGGTACTGTGTACCAGAATCGCCCAGATGGCTTTTGGCTACCGGTAGACTTGAAGAATTATATGCCATTGTAGAAAGAGCGGCCCGTATAAATGGTACCACTTTACCCACAAACTATAAAAAATCTTTGGAAGCAGTTGTACCAAGACAAAATACAATCGAAACAGTTGAAGAGGCAAAAATACCTAAAAATGAAATGAATCCAATTTCAACAACAACAGCAACACAAACGAATAAACCGAAAGAAGTGATAACAAATGATGTCAGCCCTTTGGTCGTGGTATTCAGTAAAGCATATTGGCGTACTACGTGTTTGACTCTTGTCGTTTGGTTGACACTGATTATCATTTACTTTGGTTTAACTTTACATCTGAGCAATTTGGGAGGCAATATCTATGTAAATACAGTAAGTTATATACTCATGTTATTTTATATCCTCACGAAAGTATCCTTCTTCAGGATAAAATTTTAAAAAATGAAAAATATTCAATTGTTTACATCAAAACACATGTATGTATGTAGGTTTACTTTACAAAAGAAAACACATCTATTATGATAAATATGTGTACATATGAACCGCTTTATCTATGTATGTATGTCAACCTAATGTACATACAAAAATATGTAGTATATTTTATTCTAAGAATGAATAAATTATTATCTTTTATTATTTATTTATATTATAGGCAATTGCGGGTTCAGTGGAAGCTCTTTCAATTTGTTTAAGTATTTTTGTTGTATTGAAATTGGGTATACGATTGAATTTAATAACATACATGTTGATACCGGGCATTTGTTGTTTGGCCACAAATATCGTTCCCAAAGGAGATGAAAATAATATTTATATTATTGCTCTAGCCATGATTGGTAAGTGGTCTGTTTGTCTGTCTGTCTGCCTATCATTTTTTATCATTATCATCAGTATTGTCATCAAATAATAATTTTTAAATTGAAATTTTAAATGTTTTTTTTTTTCTATTTAGCAAAATGCGTTATTGGTGCCAATAATGCCATCATACCGACCTACACTGCCATGCAGTATCCCACAGTTGTGCGTAATTTTGGTGTTGGAATGGGTAATCTGGCGGCGGGTGTTGCTTTAATACTTGTACCGTATATGTGGCTCTTGGTAAGAAATATTTATTTTTTTAGCGATTTTTTTATTAACAATTGATTATTTTTCTTTTCTTAGGAACATATTGAACCCTTGTTACCTATGAGTATAATGGGTGTTAGTGGTCTAATTGGCGCAATAGCTTTGGCCATGATGAAAGATGTTGAAAACTAGATATAGCTAGACATTAGACACGCACGCACATGTTAATTTAAATATTTTTAATGCATGCAAATCTAAAAAGCATCTGTGATATACATAAATAGTAAATTGTATTAGAAATATTTCATTCTAATTTTAAAAATTATTTTAAGAAGTCTTACAGAGCTTTCAGTTTTTAAAAGATTATACATTATGACATCACATAATTATATAATTTTAATAACAATTCCATTTGAAAGGAAACCATTTTCAATTACAATATTCTTGAAAAACCCGAATATTTAAAATTACAAGTCGTTAAAAAAATAGATTTTAATTAAAATATAAAGAAAGAGTTCAATAACATTAAATTGTGATTAAACAAATTTATATATTTAAGTTTTTCTTTATATACTATACCAGTTAAGAACCTATAATGTTAAAGCTAAATGTCTTAAGTATGCTTTTTAAAGTTTAAATTGTTAATTTCAGCATTTATGTTGAACTGCAGTGAATTTTCGGATTGATAACCGTAAAAGTAGTTAATTTTAAGTCACTTTTTTATAAATAGTTTTCTTTTGAAGCACTATTATTATTCATTTTTAATTTTTTTGTAAAATCATCATGTTATTATATTTTGTAATATTTTTATGAATATAAATGTTTTAGTTCCCACCATCAATGTTAATTTAAATTATTCACAACTAGTTCACTACAAGCTTATTTTTATAAAGACATAGAATATTTATAGAAATCGGAAATGTACTTTATATGCAAGCCATGACTGATAGATATATTGAAGATTTGGTTACCGAATATACATATTTGGATTCTATAAATTGATTTCAACAAACATTCAGACATAGCTTTCCGACCCGATAAAGTAAATATACTTTAGGATCCTGTTGCTTATAAGCAAATTAAGAACAGGAGCACTGTTATGTTTTGATAAATAATTATTTATCAAAACATAACAGTGCAAGAACAAGCTTTGTGTTTTTATTGTTTTGTTATTGTCAAAATCAAAGATGAAAACTTATATGTGGGAAATTAAGCAGGGATGGGAGAAGAACGCTATTTAAAATCAGCCAAATCGGTCCATAAATAACGGAGATACATATGAGCAAAAATCCAAGACAAAAGAAACTGAGATTATTCGTGCATGATGAGACGGAAACGTAAAACAAACAAATTAAAGAATGAACAATAATTACGAATGAAACATGAAATTAAGTACGTAGAGCCCGGATTAGGTGAAAACCTACAAAAGGGGACTTTTTGGTACTTTTTCGCTCTACAAAAGGAAATTTTTGAAATGTTGAAAAAAAAACTTATTTTTCAATTTTAACGAAGTTATAACCGACAAAAAAATCGATTTTTAAAGGAATATATAGGTGATCACAAAATAAGCTTATCTTTCAATTTAAATGTGTTTTAGCGAAGTTATAAGCGATTTAAGATTTCGCCCAAAAAATCGATTTTTGAAGGAAAATATAAGTGATCACAAAATAAGCTTATTTTTCAATTTAAACGCGTTTTAACGAAGTTATAAGCGATTTAAGATTTCCAAAAAAGATTCGATTTTTGAAGGAAAATATAGGTGATCGCAAAATAAGCTTATTTTTCAATTTAAATTTGTTTTAACGAAGTTATAAGCGATTTAAGATTTCCACCAAAGATTCGATTTTTAAAGGAAAATATAGGTGATCACAAAATAAGCTTATTTTTCAATTTAAACGTGTTTTAACGAAGTTATAAGCGATTTAAGATTGCAAACAAAACATCGATTTTTGAAAGAAAATATAAGTGATCACAAAATAAGCTTATTTTTCAATTTAATCGTGTTTTAACGAAGTTATAAGTGATTTAAGATTTCCACCAAAGATTAGATTTTTGAAAGAAAATATAGGTGATCACAAAATAAGCTTATTTTTCCATTTAAACGTGTTAACGTTAACGAAGTTATAAGCGATTTAAGATTTAGAGCAAAAAATCGATTTTTGAAAGAAAATATAGGTGATCACAAAATGAGCTTATTTTTCAATTTAAATGTGTTTTAACGAAGTTATAAGCGATTTAAGATTTCGACCAAAAAATCGATTTTTAAAGGAAAATATAGATGATCACAAAATAAACTTATTTTTCCATTTAAACGTGTTAACGTTAACGAAGTTATAAGCGATTTAAGATTTAGAGCAAAAAATCGATTTTTGAAAGAAAATATTGATGATCACAAAATAAGCTTATTTTTCAATTTAAACGTGTTTTAACGAAGTTATAAGCGATTTAAGATTTTGACCAAAAAATCGATTTTTAAGGAAAAATATAAGTGATCACAAAATAAGCTTATTTTTCAATTTAAACGTGTTTTAACGAAGTTATAAGCGATTTAAGATTTAGACCAAAAAATCGATTTTTAAAGAAAATATAGGTGATCACAAAATAGGCTTATTTTTCAATTTAAATGTGTTTTAACGAAGTTATAAGCGATTTAAGATTTCGGCCAAAAAATCGATTTTTGAAGGCAAATATGGGTGATTACAAAATAAGCTTATTTTTTATTTCAATGTGTTTTAACGAAGTTATAAGCGATTTAAGATTTTGACCAAAAAATCGATTTTTAAAGAAAATATAGGTGATCACAAAATAGGCTTATTTTTCAATTTAAACGTATTTTAACGAAGTTATAAGCGATTTAAGATTTGGACAAAAAAATCGATTTTTGAAAGAAAATATTGATGATCACAAAATAAGCTTATTTTTCAATTTAAACGTGTTTTAACGAAGTTATAAGCGATTTAAGATTTTGACCAAAAAATCGATTTTTAAGGAAAAATATAAGTGATCACAAAATAAGCTTATTTTTCAATTTAAACGTGTTTTAACGAAGTTATAAGCGATTTAAGATTTAGACCAAAAAATCGATTTTTGAAGGAAAATATGAGTGATCGCAAAATAAGCTTATTTTTCAATTTAAACGTGTTTTAACGAAGTTATAAGCGATTTAAGATTTTGACCAAAACATCGATTTTTAAAGGAAAGTATAAGTGATCACAAAATAAGCTTATTTTTCAATTTAAACGTGTTTTAACGAAGTTATAAGCGATTTAAGATTTAGACCAAAAAATCGATTTTTAAAGAAACTATAGGTGATCACAAAATAGGCTTATTTTTCAATTTAAACGTATTTTAACGAAGTTATAAGCGATTTAAGATTTGGACAAAAAAATCGATTTTTGAAGGAAAATATGAGTGATCGCAAAATAAGCTTATTTTTCAATTTAAACATGTTTTAACGAAGTTATAAGGAAAGGAAAGGTTATAAGGAGAAGGAAAATATGAGTGATCGCAAAATAAGCTTATTTTTCTATTTAAACGTGTTTTAACGAAGTTATAAGTTATTTTTATTTTATTTTTAAGATTTTGACCAAAAAACCGATTTTTTAGGGAAAATATAAGTGATCACAAAATAAGCTTATTTTTCAATTTAAACGCGTTTTAACGAAGTTATAAGTTATAATCACAAAATAAGCTTATTTTTGAATTTAAATGTGTTTTAACGAAGTTATAAGCGATTTTAGATTTCGACCTAAAAATCGATTTTTAAAGGAAAATATAAGTGATCACAAAATAAGCTTATTTTTCAATTTAAACGCGTTTTAACGAAGTTATAAGCGGTTTAAGATTTCGACCAAAAATCGATTTTTGATAGAAAATATGGGCGATTACAAAATTAGCTTATTTTTCTATTTCAACGTGTTTTAACGAAGTTATAAGTGATTTAAAATTTCGACCAAAAATCGATTTTCAAAGGAAAATATAGGTGATCACAAAATAAGCTTATTTTTCAATTTAAACGTATTTTAACGAAGTTATAAGCGATTTAAAATTTAGACCAAAAAATCGATTTTTGAAGGAAAATATGAGTGATCACAAAATAAGCTTATTTTTGAATTTAAATGTGTTTTAACGAAGATATAAGCGATTTTAGATTTCGACCTAAAAATCGATTTTTAAAGGAAAATATAAGTGATCACAAAATAAGCTTATTTTTCAATTTAAACGTGTTTTAACGAAGTTATAAGCGATTTAAGATTTCGACCAAAAAATCGATTTTTGATAGAAAATATGGGTGATCACAAAATAAGCTTATTTTTCAATTTAAACGTGTTTTAACGAAGTTATAGGCGATTTATGGGTGATCACAAAATAAGCTTATTTTTCAATTTAAATGTGTTTTAACGAAGTTATAAGCGATTTAAGATTTCGAGCAAAAAATCGATTTTTGATAGAAAATATGCGCGATTACAAATAAGCTTATTTTTCTATTTCAATGTGTTTTAACAAAGTTATAAGTGATTTAAGATTTCGACCAAAAAATAGATTTTTAAAGGAAAATATAGGTGATCACAAAATAAGCTTATTTTTCAATTTAAACGTATTTTAACGAAGTTATAAGCGATTTAAGATTTAGACCAAAGAATCGATTTTTAAAGAAAAATATAGGTGATCACAAAATAAGCTTATTTTTCAATTTAAACGTGTTTCAACGAAGTTATAAGCGATTTAAGATTTCGACCAAAAAATCGATTTTTAAAGGAAAATATAGGTGATCACAAAATAAGCTTATTTTTCAATTTAAACGTGTTTTAACGAAGTTATAAGTGATTTAATATTTAGACCAAATAATCGATTTTAGATTTAGACCAAAAAATCGATTTTTGAAAGAAAATATGGGTGATCACAAAATAAGCTTATTTTTCAATTTAAACGTGTTTTAACGAAGTTATGAGCGATTTAAGATTTAGACCAAAAAATCGATTTTTAAAGGAAAATATAAGTGATCACAAAATAAGCTTATTTTTCAATTTAAACGTGTTTTAACGAAGTTATGTGCGATTTAAGATTTAGACCAAGTAATCGATTTAAGATTTAGACCAAAAAATCGATTTTTGAAAGAAAATATGGGTGATCACAAAATAAGCTTATTTTTCAATTTAAACGTGTTTTAACGAAGTTATAAGCGATTTAAGATTTCGGCCAAAAAATCGATTTTTGATAGAAAATATGGGCGATTACAAAATAAGCTTATTTTTCTATTTCAATGTGTTTTAACGAAGTTATAAGTGATTTAAAACTTCGACCAAAAATCGATTTTTAAAGGAAAATATAAGTGATCACAAAATAAGCTTATTTTTCAATTTAAACGTGTTTTAACGAAGTTATAAGCGATTTAAGATTTCGACCAAAAAATCGATTTTTAAAGGAAAATATAGGTGATCACAAAATAAGCTTATTTTTCAATTTAAACGTGTTTTAACGAAGTTATAAGCGATTTAAGATTTCGACCAAAAAATCGATTTTTGAATGAATATCATAGTGCGTAAAAGAATGCGATATGTTGTTAAAATGTTTACTACACAAAAGCTTATATGTTGTTAAAAGCTTATAATAACAGAAAATGAATTTAAAAAGAGTAAATTCTTGAAGTAACGGTTTATACATTAAAAGCTTGCAATTTACTTTTTCTAGATGAGTGTTGGTGAGAAAACAATCTCTTATAAACACGTATTATTCATGTAAACGTTACAAAGCTTTTTTTAAATATTAAAAAAACATGCACACATTTCAAAATAGTCGCTTTTTTAGTGTAATCTTGAATTAAAATAAAATTAAAAGGAATAAAAACAAAGTAGCACAAAGCCACGGTTGTTTTAAAATAAAACTCTCAATAAAAATGGCAATAATTAAAATTCTCAACATGACCTCTCTACAAATGACGCAATTACAAAAGAAATTAAATCCATTTGCAAATTTAATTTATTTTTTTTAAGCTATTGAAGGTAAATCAATTAATCAATGCGCTCTAAAATACTTTTATTTCATTAACAAAATGGGTAATTACCAATTATGTTTTTAACGAGAACTGTTTTTAGTTAAATGAATAAAAACTAATTTAAACAAAATCCTAAATTTCTTCAACAGAGTTGCAAAGAACACACAAAAAGTTTACAAAAAGCTTTGGAACACAAATAAAGCAGAAAAACGACGCGCAACAACAATTTATGCATTTTGGCCATTATTTTGGTGTTGGTGGTATAAAACCGTAAACTTTTCTAAAATGTAAAACATTTCTTTGCTGAAGTTTGCTGGTAACGGTTATTACAACACAGACGTACAAACAAAATAGAGGAATAATCAAACGCGCTATTAACAATAGAGTGAGTGGGAAACGCGCCAAATCAAACGTGAATTGTTACAATTTTATTTGTTTCAATTGTAAAGGATTAATTAGTAATAGACAAATTACAGTGCATAAAAGATATTTAGCAACAACAACAACAAGCAACGTTAATAAAAAAACAAAATGAAGTTACAAAAACTAAAAGCGGTAAGTTTTCATTTGTACTTTTTTTTTCAAATTGCATACCAATTTTTGGCAAAAAAAAAACAAATTTATTGAGCGCAAATAAGTGTTGAAGTGTAACTAAGGCGTTAGCTTTTAAAAATGTTTATGGAATGTTGACTAACTGGATTCTAAATTTTGGAAACAAGAGTTACTGTTACAATTTCGAAAATTAAAATGTGTAACAAATAATAAAAAAAAAAGTTTTAATGTTTTGAAAAACTAATTAAGCGGATTTGTTTCTTATTTATATTTTATATTCATTAAATCCAGCCCAAGGTTAAAAAATTGTCTTGACATAACTTAATGCTCCAAAAGAAATACAGACTAACCGTTTTAAATTACTTTTCAAAAAAAAAGGGTGTAGCAAAACAATGTCTTATTATTGTTATTATTTTTATTATTATTACTATTACTGTTTTATTTTTCTTCTTTACTATCGCTTTGTTTCTTTACGCTTAAATTACTTTATTCATTTTATTTAAGCCAGTTATTATAATAATGGTCCAAGTCATACTTATCTAAGTACATGACATACCAATTGTTCGAATTAAAATGTAATGTTTTTTATTTTTTCATTTATCATGCATGAACTTTTAGAAAATTTATATAGAAATTAACAATATTGGCACCTCTCGAGGAAGGAAGTTAGAGGAAGTACTGGGTACTAGAAATGTGTGGTCTTTCATATAGTTTTGTCTTTTTTCAAACATGACGTTTATTTTCGAGGTTCGACTGATTTTTTGTTGTAAACGTCAGCACTTAAACCCAAGTTTTCACGTACATATATTTGATAAGTAAAATGGCTGTTTAAGTTCAGATGAGAAACATACTAACTTCTACTTTATATATCAAAATTTATTTTTGAAATCCCTCGATCTATTTGAAAGTTTTTTAACAGAGAGTGAAATGCATGTTTTGATTTATGCCGGTCTATGAGCGACATCTATTTACATACATATGTAAGTATGAATATAGAAGAAATGGTAATCACTACTAAATACAAATGTTTAATTTCAAACTTTTTAGAAAAAGGATATCTAACAGATACTTATACTCTCACTCCAGAAAGAAAAAACATGTCTGAGAAATTAATTTAATCTGGGAATGGTTTTGTAGCAATTATATAAAAAATCTCAAATTCTTTAGTTATGACTATCTTATCCAGATATTATTTACATAAAAACAAACTCTAGCACCGCTTATGACTTGACAGAGTTGCAATTAATATTTCAACAAGCAACGAATATGAAAATAAACAAATCCATAAGAAATAGCAAATTATTGTTGACATTCACTTGGTAAAAATAACATAGTTTCCAAGTCATAATTCTGAACCTTATTGAAGGTAAATAAAACTAGCTTATAGCACACATAAGAGTATAATATACTGACTCACTAAATAATATATTATTCGTTATTTGTCGAAAGAAAAAAATGTCTTTGTTCTGCAAAGAAATGGATGGAGGAATAATTATCTCATTCTCGTTTACAAATTAAAACAATCACATAATTGTTTTATTTTGTATAATTTTTTCTCTCCACTATTTTATGCCGGTTTCCACTTCAAATTGTTTAATAATGGTGCAATAGTGTTTGTGGAATAAGGTTTTCAATTAAAGATTTACTTTCATAGTTAATTTGTTCAAAATGCAGCTGCACTTTGCTACACTCAGCAAAATTTTTATCGAGATTCTTAAAATATTCAAATTATACTTTTTTCTATCAAACTGCTTTATATATGTTTTAAGAAATATTTGAATATTGTTATAATTTTAGGAAAATTCACAATAATTTAAATACATATGTACATATAAAAATTTTCAATGTAATTATTTTGAGTGTAGAAAATAGAGTAATGCGTTTATTAGCTACACCCAAGGACGTCAAGATATTTTAAATTATATCTCAGTTTAAATGAATGCGATTCATATTTGAAAAAGTATAACAGCATCTTAATAAGCTGGTATTTTATATTTAAATAGTTTTACTACATTATATTTGACGAGTGAAGGACGCTTAATAATTCTAATGAATTTGAATTTTTTTAGTTTAAATATTTATAAAATATTTAATGCCGTTTCGATATAACAGTAAATAGTGTTATTATTTGTGACTCTAAAAAAAATCATATTTCTACTAATTATTATTTTTTATATATTTAAGTGAAAAACTGTTAATATAGAATACAAATATATTAAATATCTAATAGATATTTTATAAATGCATACATATTACAAATTGCTATTATAATTAACTGTTAATAGCCTTACCGCCAAATTGCAACATCAGATCTATACCAAATTCGAATAACTCTTTATAGATTTGGTAATATTTATACACAAACCTACATTAATATAATATCAACAGATTCTTAGTTTTATTTAAAGCTTATACAGTTTGATAGAGTCTTTTTCTTGCTTTAAATTGAAAAATCAAGTTCCTTGTTTGCTGTTATTCAACATACACATGCATTTTTCACCTGAATAACTAAAAAAAATTCCTAATAAAAAAAAAATTAAATGAAAAGAAAAAATTGAAAAATAATGCTATTTGTACGTTAAAAATATTTATAGTAAAATATACAAGTAAACTAGTTTCATAATCTGGCCAAACTGTATTACAACCACCAACACCAGCGTACGTATTTATGGCGTAATCAACCAAGTGCAACAACGTTTAGTAATTGCAATAAATGTAATTTTTGGGCGTTATTGAAAACGAAAGTTTGTACTAGTACAAATTTTATAATATGCATAAGTATAATTTTCATGTAACCAGTCATAGTTTTCATTACAATTGAAGTTTGCCATTAAATCTTCAAATTCTGAAAATTTCCCAGAATTTTGTTGACCGCAGTCAACAGCCATTTTGTGCATAAAATTATTAAAAAAAAAAATGTTGAACGTTGATATTTTTTATTTATAATTGACATTGGAAAAAATGTAATAGTAATTATGAACATTACCATTTTTATTTCCTTAATAATCTTCAAAGACATCATTTACCACAATTAAGAAAACTTGTTTTTTTATTACATTTTCAGTTTACGTTTTTGTCCCCGACAGTGAAAAGAAATGCCACAGAAATAACCGCAAACACACAAATATTTTAACTACTCATATCATGTACATACCAACGATTTACATACTTTGTACTTTTTTTCAAATAAAATTAAAAAAGAAACAAATAAATACTCTATTACATAATCGTGTGAACTATATTCATTGCATTGCAATGATATGATATGGTAGTTAGTGTGTCTGTATTGGTCTTATTTATGTTGTATGTGTATTTACATTTAAGTGGACTAGATTCATGCAATTTGTTGTTAAATGGCCAAAACATTCACTAACTCTCAATTTAATTCAGTACACTCTCACTTTTTGTATTTATTATTATTTTTTTTTGGACTTGTGGACTGGTTGTGATTAAGTTGCCATTAGTGTACTGCATAGAAACTGTAATAACTATCCAAATCAAATCAATATTGAATTGAATTTACAGTTCGTAAAACTGAAACCGGCTATGACTAAATACATCCATCCATCATCCAGACAGAACATGTTATTTGTCACTACCAATACAACGTTACAAATGTGTAATTCCTAATCAATCTCTGCACGGATCTTATTTATTACTCAAACTTGTTTGTTGTCTACCAAAAAAGAGTTAAAAGAATTTTGTATATTATTTCTCACATTAAACATTTTTAAGCCGCTTAAATAATAGAATTCAGACGCTAGTAAAAACATAGACCCACATTAGAGTATATCATACATACAAACAATATTTAGTGTATTTTATTAATATTTTTGGGTGTGTGAGTCTCTTTCTCTGTATGTACATATATTTTTTGCAATTTCAGCTGCATACTAAAGTACAATATTATTGAATACAAATATAGATTGCATTATTTTATGACTTCATCATTTTGATATGATCAATCGTAATCGAATTTTTACAGTCTTGCTTAAAATTAAACATACACTAAATAAAATTGTATTACATCAACTAATAAAATGGAAGTTTTTTTAGAAAAATGTTAATCCAAATTTTTTTTCTCGTAATATTTACTTTGTAAAAAAATCAGTTTGTCATTAATAAAATAACATAAACATATAGGGATCCGAAATAAAAACTAAACAATGAAATCGTTATATTGTCCCAACTCAAAAAATCGATTTGGATGAAATTTTTCACCATGGTTAGTACTATTGTAGGCCAGACACAAATTTTCAGCTGTATCGGCCAAAAACTGCAGGACTTAGAAGGGGCCAAAGTTGGACATTTTGCTTATACAGGGTTTTATTCAAATGAGTGTAACTTCTCACCTATTGGTCCTAGCAAAAGCTCAGATAGCTATTTCTTCATTGTTTCCAAAAATTTATTTTAATTTTTTTCAAAAAAAGCCCTTTTCAGATGAAAGCTTATACATATGTTAAATTTTATGGAGAACAAAAAGTGGTTCTAGTAATTATTTTTAATGATAATTTTTTATAGGTCATATTCGTTGTCACTACGATTTTAAGTGTATGTCTAGTCAATGCTCAATATCCTCCACAACGACTGGCAATACCTGGAGCAGCACCTGCACCTGTAGCGCGACCAGTAGTGCGCGTTAGGCGACCAGTGGCAGCAAAATCTCAAAGCTATACGCAAAATAACATAGCTCCTCGTGTAATTGAAGAACCTAAACCAGTTACGGAATCGGGCGAAGACGAAGGACCCGATGCTTATTTGCCTCAACTTTTAAGAGAACAACAGTTGGCTCAGGTGCAACAAGCACAATTTCAACAAACTGCCGCTGCTTTTCTTAACAACGAACAAAATGCTATACACGAAACGCCAATTTCTCATCTTTTGTCTAATGATGAACCTTTGGTTAGCAGTAACCCCTTCTCCACGAGATTTCCCGAACGACCATCCCCTCCAACAACACCCAGCGCTAAGCAAGTGTTTAATGATTTTGGAATTGGCTCTAATATTATCAATAGTCCTCGATTCAGTCAAGACAGACCACAACAAGCACCACCTCAGGCACCACCACCACAACAACGTGAACGAGTCCATGTTATTCGTAACAGACCTACTGAGTTGAGAGAATCAAGACCACAATTTGTTGCCCAACCTGCTCCAGTCCAATCACGTCCTAGACCTAAGCCCATACAATCTCGTCCCGCTTTAGAACAAAATCAAATACCATTACAAGAAAGAGATAGTCAACAAAATTCCAGACGTCAACGCCCAGTTGCTCAAACCATAAGAAAATGGCGTGAAGAAAATGAAGATGGCAGCATTACCTGGGGTTATGAAAACGATGATGGCTCTTTCAAAGAGGAACTTATTGGCACTGACTGTGTTACAAAGTTTGTATATTTTTTAATAGATTTTATTTATTTTTATTAATTTATTTTGTTTTATTTAGAGGTACTTATGGCTATGTGGACCCAGATGGCAACAAACGTGAATACCATTATGAGACCGGTATCAAATGTGACCCCAACAAACGCAATGAGGAGGCAGAGCTTCAGGACAATGGCTTCATTAATTACGAAGAAAACCGTGCTGTTTTACCGAATGGAATCGAAATCGACATGTCGCAACTTGGCAAGAAGAAATCAAAAAGACCAGGAGTAAATTATAGAAACTAATCTTCATTATAAAACGGGGACTTGATACGATTCTGGAGTCATCAAGTATCGCCAGTTCCCAAATAGTTTATAAGACTTGCATTACATATTAACGTTGTGTATATTTTACTTTCATTATTTTAGATTTTATTAAAAAAAATATAATAAAATAAGGAATTTAAATTCTTACCATTTTTTATATTTTAAGAAAAACTGTCGGGATGCAGTTGTTGATATCAAATAAAACATAAACCAAAAAACTTAAGTATCCTAGTTATTGATTAAAAGTGATTGTAGTGGGATTGAAGATGACAAAATGTATGCAAATATATAGAAGTTAGATGTTTTCTTAGTAGGGACGAGGGCGTCTAATTGGTGGTAAACGATTTGGAGGCGTTATAGAAATATCAAGAAAATCTCCGATACAAAACTTTGCTTGTGCCAACGTTTTATTGTCGTCAGCTCCCTTTTGTCCTGTACACGTTACGCCAATCTCACGCATTTGAAAATGATTATTGCGATAATTGGGATAGACTATGGCAAAGTCGAAGTAGGTTCCCTTCTTGCGAGTATCGGGATTGACATCGCGTACTAGAGAGGTAAGCTCATGCAATGAGGCATCCATCCAAGTATAAATTTGTAATTCGTTAGTGGGAACATTATTGTACATATAATCCGATACCGAGTGATGTCTTCCAGTTGAACAGAATACTCTCAGCAGTAGTGGACAAGTCTAAATGAAACAGAACATGAAGGCAAGAACATACCATGACAAGAAGCTATACTTACCTTCTCACGGTCAATTTGTTTGGTTTGTGGTTTTTCCTCTACGATCATAGACTCGACATTTGCCATGGTTATTAAATATTTAAATGCTTAATTTGTATTTTAAATGAAAATAACACACAAAAAATTATCGTGTACAATTTTATCCGGCTTTTTTCAATTGTACTGAAGTTGGCTGCAGTTTATGTTTTCGTTAAAAATGTCTGTCTTTCGGAGTTGCCATATTACATTGCTGAAAAGTTATTTTAACATGTTATTTTAACATACGTACACATATATTAAAAATTACAATCCAAAAGACCTCAATTGTCAAATCGTGGTGTTCAGATAAAATCCAATAATTCTATTGGAAATATATAACAATGTATCATTAGAAAATATGTTATAATAACATATTTTCTAATGATACAAAATTGAGTTGAAAACTAAGCCGGCCTGAGGCCGATTTTAATCCGCCGCCGAAATTTTCAATGTCAGAAGGCGTTGCTGTTAATGTTTGTCGGCACAGTTCTCTGTGTTCAGATAAAATCATTGGGAAAACTAAAACAAAATACACACAAATACTAAAATTTTAAAAATAATAGAAAATTTATTACTTTATACGTATTATCTTACATAAATTATTAAATAAATACAAAGAATTAACGGTTTTAAAAGTTTATATTGATAACAATTCTTACTAAATTCCAACAATTTCTTGGCACATAAAATATTGAATTATTTACTGCACTTTTTCATCTGGAAAAAACTCATCATGTAGGTATTTTGAACAACAACAACAATAAATTGTTTTCTTTTAAGAAAGATAAAATAGCTTAATTGAAAAAAAGGAATGTTTAATATTATTTACTTTATTAATTGGATAGCAGTTTTAAGAAGCTTATATAATTCTTTGAATAGAAGAATAATAAACAGTAAAAATAAATGAAAACAACCAGAAAACTATTTGCAATTACACTCGAAAAAAATGGTGTGTAATTTATTAAATGCACTCGAGTTGTGTGTATAAGATTTTGTAAGTATACAGGGTGGCACAACGTTATTACATACTAAACTTATATAGGGCATTAATTAAAAAAGATCACTAAACCGATTTAGATTTTAAAATATTTTAGAGGGTTGATGGTTCCTTTAATAAAACATTTTTAGCGAAGCCAGAGGTGTATATCTCTGCTCCCGACTGTGGAACATGTGAATATAAACAAACAAAATACATATGTATTAACACCATACAAATTGGTTGTGGGATCTAGGTTTGTAAAGGTATTTTTATGTTGATTTGTCCATACTTAATAGTCTAGGTCTGGAAATCAGTCAATCACGTGCATTTCTTCTCCCCTGAGGGAGAAAAATATACTTGAATTTATTAATTTTTTTTTTAATTCTTTATTCAAATAATCGAGCCCTAGGGCCATATACGATTAATACAAACATTTACAATTATATAATGAATAAGGGAGAAAATTATACTTGAATTTATGAAATTTTTAAAACTTAAGTACAATTTATTCTCGTTAGAAAAATATCGATATCGAAATTTCCTGTGATTCTAATAAACATTTAACATTTTAATTAGATTTTTTTAATAACCACCAATCGAGCTTTTAAAGTAAACCTTTAACTTATTTTAAATATTATTGTTTTTAGCTTCCATCATGTCTTCTTCACATTCAAATGCGCAAAGTAATGATAATTCTACATCAGCTAGCAAAAATATTGGTAATAGCAAAACAAATTCTGCTCAGAATAGTAGTGGTTCGGACAGCATGGATAAGGTATCGCCTGATCAGGATATATATATAAATCCGGCTGATGGTTTGCCTAGTCAACATCCAACGTTGGCTGATGGTGAAATTGACAGCAGTACTGAGCCTGAAATAGATCCAGATTCATTTGATGACTTGCCTACATCAATTATCGTTACTAATATACATTCGGAGGTGTTTGCTAGTCCTGAACTTAAACAGGAAATGGAGGACTTATTCCGTATGTTCAGTGACAAAGCAACATTTCAGTGGTTGCGAAGTTTTAGACGTCTCCGAGTTAACTACGATAATGCTATAGCAGCTGCGAATGCTCGCATTAAATTGCACCAGTATGAATTCAATAAGAAAACTGTTATAACGTGTTATTTTGCACAGCCGGTAACTCCTGTATCCAACAAAAATCTTCAGCCACCAGCTCCGGTGAAACAATTCCTAATATCACCTCCTGCTTCTCCTCCAGCCGGCTGGGAACCGAGAGAAGAGAATGAGCCATTAGTTAATCATGATTTGTTGGCTGCTTTGGCTAGTCTCACCCCTGGCGAATCTCACGAATTACATCCTCAAAGTGAAGATCAGCCCGCAATCATTGTACACACAGCAAGATTACCAGAAACTGCAACAGATGTCATCAGTGCCGCTTCAAAGATGCCAATAGTCCCAACCAAATGTCCCGAAAGAGCATAAACAAAAAAATCAAAAAGTACCCAACTAATCAAGTCTTTATGAAGTTTGACTCAGACTTTACATGTTGCAAACAAACAAAATATATTTATTTTTTTCTTTTGTTATTTGTAGGCTGTTGTTTGTTTTAAAACTGAAGCTAATTAATTATACATACATAATAGAAAAACAACAAAAGATAAAAGAAAAAAACTCAATGTTTTAAATGTAACACATAAAAATTGTTGAATATTTGAATTTCAGTTTAGTTTTCGTTAAATATTTATCGAAGCACTAGCTTAAACGAAACATTTTAATTTTTCCTACTATTTTCAACATGGATTTCTTAAACGCACATTATCGATTTTTACTTGCTAACGACAGAGCCTGGGAGAGAACTCAGACGAACTGATGATAAACTGCAAAGAATGTTAAAAAAAGTTGTTGTTAAGTAAATTCTTCAAAGTACTGATGGTTTTGCTAAAACTGTTGCAAGCATCGAATCGATCAATGTCTTTTAGACTTGAAACCATACGAATGATATTGTGATTAAGTATAAAATATTTATATATATTTATAGTTTTTTATTAGATATAAAAAAAGAACAAAAAATGTTATTACAAATAAACCATGAATTTATGTGTATTACCTACATAACTAATTAGAACTCATGGCTTGTATGTAGGATAAGTTTATTACAAATTGCCTAAAACTGAAATAGATGTTATCAAGAAATACATTCTCCAATCTAACTTGCGAGTATAAACCCGAAACAATTTAAAGCTATTACACAATTTATATTCTTAATATACCATAATGGAAATTTTATTATTATTTTTTTATGAAATTAATTAAAAATTAAGATTCGAAGAATGTAATTAATAATAATAATAATTATGTTATCTCTTGTTGTACTAATTTTATTTCTATAAATATTAATTAAATAAGAAAACCAAACAAAACTAATACAGCTACAATGTATGTATTTTTTTATAAGCTCTGCTTTAAATGTATCCAGAGCTTATTTAGTTCATACTGTAACACATTATTCCGATACTGTATTTGCACACTCCTCCACATCTTCACTGAAATAAAACACAGACTTGTTTGTGTATCTTTATGTAGTTGAAAGCAGCTGAAAGAGATTTGTCCTTAACTGCAGAGAAACACTTAAGAAAACACGAAAAAAAAATAATTAAAAATACTATCGAATCACAAAAATACCTGTATATAGTTTAAGTTAAAATAACAAAATTGTATGTAATGGAAAATGTTTAATGAATTTAAATAAATAAAAACAAAATTTATGAAGATATGTATATGAAAGTAATCTGTGTAATTAGAGACGATGTTAATTATAAACTAAAATTGAAACTGCAAATGAATTATGATACTAGATGTTTAAAAGAGTCCTTTTTTCTAGGTGCAGTAACCAAAATTTAATTCAAGATAATATGACAGAAACAGATTTTTATATTTTTCTTAATATATTTAGCAACATTTTATTATAAAAACAAAATAAACAATTAACAATTTTTAACATTTGGAATGTAATAAGAACACATACATTTGTATATACATATGCATGCATAATACATTGTACATACACACATATTCTTCTTGTACATGGTTGTGTACAGATTTCGGATATTGCTTGAGTTTAGAGCTGTGAGTATAATTTTATTTTTAACTTAATAATTTGTCGAAATTAATGTTTTCCTATGGTTTTTAAAGGTACCATCTGTTCTGGATCATCTGGATATACGCTATGTCTTCTTGACTTTCTGCCAGCACATTGACTAAACCATGTATCGCCTTTGCCAAAGTTTTCACCATCTTCAATGGATTCTGGCATTGGTTGATTCATTGTTTCTGGCAAGAACATTACCCAAAATCCTGACAGCAAGGCAATAATACCAAATAATACGGCAGGTATTTTAGGATCAAATGAATCCAACAGAGTAATGAGGGGTGTTAGAGCGCCAGACAAACGGGCACACATTGATCCCAAGCCCATAGCTGAGTTACGAACAACAGTGGGGAACAATTCGGCGGAATAATTGTAAATTACTCCAAAGGAGCCGGCAATAAACAATTTGCCCATCATCACAATGCCAGTTGAAACTGTGCTGCCTTGTTCAATGAAGGCAGCAACCATACAACAAACGCCTCCGGCTAACATAAGCGTACTGGTAATTGGTCTTCTTCCAAGACGATCTAAGACTAAGACAATCGTCAAATAACTGGGGAACTCGACCAAACCCATAATGAATAGAATTAAATAGGGATTGCCGTAGAGTTTGCCAGCACTCAAAGAGAGACCATAGTAAACTAATGAATTTGCGAACCAGCAGAGGCAAACATTCAATGTTTTCATGCGCAAATTTGGAGTTTTAAATAGATCGCCCAAACCGGCATTTGCCTTTTCCTCAGTGGCTTGTTGGCTCTTAGCTTTCTGTAAGAAATATTGCTTGTCGACTGGAATGCCAGATCCATTGATTCTTAAGCCCTTGGAAACAATGTCAATAGCTTCTGCAGCGCGTCCTTGCATCCATAGCCAACGAGGTGATTCATCTAACAACCACCAGTGGCCTAAGAATAGAACACCGTGCAAACCGTAAACAACTTGCAAAAACTGACGATCCTTTATTAAAGCTCCCCATCCAGCAACCAACATTATGCCACCGGCGAATACAGCCTACAAAATTAAAAAATATTTATTAGAAAACATTTTTATTATGCCTTGAATTTTGCACCAACCTGAAAAGCTATACCACATGCAGTGCGTTTACTAGGTCCAACAAGTTCCATAGTCAGAACGAAACCACATATATAGGCACCAGCCGATCCAAATATACCCAGCAGATAACGAGCGAACATATACGAAAAGTATTCAGGTATAAATGCTACAGCGACGCCTATAATGAGCTGCAATAAAGCCGACCAACAAAATACCGTTTTACGTCCCACCTTATCTGCCAAACCGCCCAGTACTACAGCTCCAGTAAAAACACCCAACATAAACACCGTCTGCACAATGCTACCCATCCAACGTCTATCACATACAAAATCCCAATCTATCGTACGAGATGTTTCGTAGTAGGTACGATCGTAAACGTACGATGTACAAGCAACTGTATTGTTATTATCATCGTACATATGGCATGAATCCAATTCTCCATTTTCTTTCTTTGGTATAGCGTTTAAAATGTCCGTAGAATTCCAGGGGACGTATGAGAAACTTGTGTTATCTACGCCTTCGATAAAACAACGATGTTCGGGTACAGCTTGAACCGTTACCAATGTCAACATGTGCAAACCAGCAGTTAGGGCGGACAATACTTGGAGGAAGAATTGAAACGCTTGATAGCGTCCAAATTCCCCTAAAAGAAAGAACAAAAAAAACAAATTAAAAATGGTAAAGTATATATTATTCTTTGTATAAATACATGTACATTAGAATATGACTTTTTGAATTTTTTGTCAATTTACAATTTTACAATCCCTACTCAGAAAGGCCCTAAAAATATCAACAAACATCGTCTTACTTTTTCGATCCTGCGTTTTCTGAATACTGGAAAAATAATAAAAATAATACTACCAGAATAAAATGAACTAGTCTCTAGATCAAGGGTGGTTAAAAATGTCATATTTGTGCAAACAATTTGATTAGTTATAAAATAAATTGGAGTAGATATTAACTAAGCGTTAAAAAATAATTGTATATTATTTTCGCCGAAATAACGCACTATAAACCGATTTTTTCTGTATAAAATTGTCGGAAAATTTTATCTCGTGGTGCACGAAAATCTCTTAAATTTTTAACTATTTTATAGTGCGCCTCCGGTAGGTTAGTAGATAGTGTTCTAGTCTGTCACATAATATGATCAAAAATGTTTACATTCTCTTTGAAACTTTTTTTTACTTAATTAAAAATCTATAGACATCATGTAAGGAGAATGAATGCTTTTAAAAACAAGTAATAAAATGTTTTTATTTACTTTACATTTAATTAATCAATTCTATGTCAAGTTTTTAAAAATTTTGTGAAACTTTTTTTTTTTTTTTTTGCTATTTTAGATCGGGTTTTTGAGATGGTAATCAAATGCCAATTAATAATCAGATTAGTTAATCTAAAAATAAATTTAATCTTATGTTAATCCCCTTTGATGTTTTTCATCAAATATCAAAACAATGCATATTTTATAAAAAGAAGAAAACAATTGTAAATTCAATATGAAAATTAATGAAAACTTAAATTAAAAACAAAAAAATGTATTTTGAAGTGTCCATAATTTATACTAATCAATAAATAGAACATTTTAATGTTTATATTTATAAAAATTTTTTTAATTTGTTTGCATCAGCTGTTTACACTTTTGCATTTCGTGCTTAAAATTAAACCACCTCTATTGGGCGCTTAAACTTGCAAACAAAATTAACTAATTGAGTACTCAAAAACATCTTTCGAGGATTAATTTTAATTTAATCGCTAATCTTTCACCTAAAGATTGGCCCTTAAAGTTATTTTAAAAATAATAGCTTTAACAGCATAGAAAAAGAAAGAAAAAGAATAACTGTAACTTTTAAGACGTCCCCATAAATTGTGTTCTTAAAAAATTATATTTCTTGAAAGTGTGGTTTTGAGTTAGGTTGTTTTCCTGCTTGTGACCAAAGATGAAGTTTAATTTGAATAAAGTTTACAAAAACTAACCACCTATCTCTACGCAAGTTTTATCTCCAAACTAAAGAAAGCAATTTGATTTAAGAAAAACTATAAAATTGAAAACTTATCAACTGTCAATGCGAAATATTCAGTTATTTTTATAAGAAATATTTAATTTAATTAAAACGGAAAAGATCTAATAAGTAGTAGATGAAAAAAGCACGTTTTGATACAACAAAAAACAAAAATTTCAATGCCAACCTAAATTATTAAATAATTAAAAGTGTAAAGTTTAACAATAATAAAAATGTTTTAACGATTAGTATGTATATGATTTCTATCTATAAGTACGTACTATGTATGTACTTCATTATATATGTACATATAACTTACATACATACATTTATATAGGTATTTATTTATGTATAAACATGTAGATGTTAAACATGCGTTCTAACAAATATTTTTTTGGAAATATGATCGTGGGGACTACTAGGTACATATGTACATACACATGTTCTACAATGAAGTGATAAGAATAAAACAATTATTGTGTACTATTTAATTTTAAAACGCCGTCAAAATCATTTATACTTAATTTTTTTTTTTGTTTTTGCACTCTTAATTAAGAATAGCGAAAAAATCAATTTTATGTATAGTCTTTGTTTAATAGAATATATATTTCGTTATTTATGAATTCAATATATATACAGACATATAGTACCTTGTTGTAAAATCAAATATCGAACGACCACAACATTCACTTGTATTTAGTATTATAAACTAATTAAAATTTTAAAACAAGTATAGTACAATAAATATACATACATAGTTACATACACATGTGTATTTATCAAGTACATATGAATGTATTAACTAATATTTCAAAAAAACAAAAAAAGATAAGTTCAGTTAAAAAGTTGCAACAAAATTGAAGTTTTTTGAAAATACTATGACCATGATTTGTTTTATTATTTAATTTTATTTGCTAAAAAAAAAGATAATTAAATAAATTGTATTTGTATTTTTAAGTAGGATTTTATTTCAATAGGTATTTAAAGAGTTTCTTATCTTTGAGGGGCATACAAATCCCCACTTGTATATTTTTTGGGATAATGTCATAGTAGCACATGATTTTTAATGCGATTATCACTGTGATAAAGTTGTTTGCTAATATGCTGATTGATGTTACTACTTGGAAATTTTTTTGTGGAATTTTTTCCCTGTTGAAATATTGGTATTCAACTAGCAGACAAATTCTTAATGATTTATGGAAATCGTATATGTATTTTTATAAAGTTTTTTTTTTGTTTGGAATCCTTATTTAAATAATTACCAAGTTTATAGCGACATATATTATTAGCAAAAGTTATTTTTCTTGCATTGGATTGTATGATTAGAAGATAAAACAATAATCCAAAAATTAAATATTAACATTTTGAATTCGTGTTTGATGAATGATCAAATTGTTTTTGTAAAAAATTATATTATATAATTATTATATTACTAATTTATTATAATATTATTTAATTAATCGGATAATTTTTTAAAACCTCACCCCCCCATTGCAAAAATGAAAATTTTTTCGACGCAAAAATGAAAGTTATAAAATCAAGATTTTGGAATCTCTATGCTCAACTGTTTTAAAAATCAAAGCAGTGCTTCGATGTAGAAAATATCTACATCTTTAAACGTGATTTTCTATAGTTTTATATTGGAATTTAAAACGGTCTCCTGAAAAGTACAGAAAAACAACTTATGAACTTTTTCCTTGTTACCACAGAATAATTTCATTCAATGAAGAAATCAAGACTTATTTCATTTTTGAAACAACGAACTCTGAATACCCCAGCTAACATTTGGAAGATTGTTGGCTGATTAATCAGTAAACTGACTCATTTTTGACTCCTTTTGATGACCTAAACGTGATTAATAAGTTGAGCGCTTAAAAAATGATCCCGATATATGATTAAAAACTGATTATTTGAAAAACAATAACAAAATGTATAGCAATCATAAATTTATCATTCTGGTGTTTAAAATATGATGGTTTTAAAAATTTAGTTTGTGGTCATATTTCAAGCAGTTGGAAGATCTAAAATTGTTCCTTATGTAATTGTTTTTGTTTGCAATGAAATAGCAACACTTACACTTAAAAATGAATCAAAAACGATTCAAAAATGAGTCGAAACTGATTAGAAATGGGGCTCAGAAAAGACTCTTTTGGAAGAGTTAGCAAAACATTTTGTGTGGCCTAAAATGAGTTGATATAATTCTCACTTCGCTTATAAAATTAAATGTATAAGTATTTGAATTTATGTGATATTTATAAAGTAGATTTTCTGTCAAATTGAAATTATATTATGCTTTAATTTTAATAATTTTCTGTGTTTAATGATCTTCTCCAATTAATGTTTAAAATCTGATTTATTTGAAAAACAATAACAAAATGTACAGCAATCACAAATAGGTCTTCCAGGTGTTCGAAATTTTATTGTTTATAAATTTATTTTGTAGTTACATTTCGAGCAGTCGGAAGATCAAAAAGTGTTTTCTGTTGTTTTGTATTTGTCAGTAACAAACATAAAAATTACTCAGAAAAGACTCAAAAATGACTATAATATGATTCGGAAATAACTCAAAAACGACCAGTTATTTGGCTCATTAATGACTCAAAAAAGATTAAAAAAGTGTGTCTTAATTGATCAGAAGTGGGGCTCATAAATGACTCATTTAGAAGAGTCGCGGGTAGGGTACCATTTTCTCCCGACGAATGTATCATTTATGATCAGAAAATGAGCTCATATATGATCATTTTAATCGTGCAGAGGAGTCATAAATGACTCGAATGTGATCAAAAATTTAAAAAAAAATGCTAGCTGGGAACCAAAGAATAATACATATTCATTCATAAATACTTGAATACATATATGTATGTATGAATGTATGTGTGTGTGTTACCATATGTACATATTTACTAATGTACTTGATTCAAATAATTACTAGTGTAAAACAGAGTACTTTTGTACATGTACATACCTTTTTTTTTAACAATTTCTCATGGCCAAAAACTAATAGTCATGAACCACAACAATAAAATTATTAAACTATTGAAGAAGACACCAAATAAATAGAGTTTACTTGCATTTGTATATGATAGTAACAATTTTTTATTATTGGTTTTGAAATGGCGCTACATTCATTATAGACACATCTCAGTTTTTCTTTATGCGTTAAATTTATTTGAATACCTAATTAGTTTTGTTTTTCATGCAAATTGAATTCAATTGAAAGGTTTGTAATCAATTCAATTGATCTACATACAATTTATACTTAATTGAAAATAAATAACAGCGATCAAAACCGATTCGTATACATCTCGTTGCACAAAATATGTCAACGATAATGTAAATAAACTTTTCAATAAAAATAAAAGCAGTAGGTAACGAAAATGTCAACATTTGTTCAAATATTCAGACTTTAACAAATTCATCACACAATTCGTTTAGCGCTTTATGTATGTGTGTTTGACAAAAATCTAAAACTATTATTTCATCTATCGCACTAAAATAAAAATTCAGAAATGAAACGAAACACTTTTCACATCCGCTAAAACACTTGTGTAAATATTTGCAGTTTTTAAGTTTATTGATTTTGAATAAATACGTTACTTTTATTTATAGAGATTCATACAATATTCATTGATTTTAAATGAGAAAAATGTATATACATGTATATAAATGTAGTTGTTTTTATTAAAGTATGTATTCATTTTGAAGTCGTTTACTCCTTAAGATACGTTCACATTGATAAAATATTTTATGAAAAAAGGGTAAACACTAAAAAATTTTTAATTTTTATTGTATTACAAATATGAAATGATGTAATTTACAATTAAAATTTATAAAAATTAAAAAAAATACATTCCAGAAAATTCAATTAAAAAACTATTTTTTGTTGCTCACTGTACATTGTCACCATGTGGTCTTGTAAATATTAAATGAAATACTTTAAAAGTGTCATCGAATGTCTAATTAATTTAATAAAAGTTGTATATAATTGACAATTAAAGCACTAGACACAATAATGGCCTCATTTTATAGAAATGTTTTTTTTTTTGTTTTTGTAATTTATTAGAACTTAAAATAAGTGTATCGTACTGGTGCAAAAAAGTGAATTCCTTTCAAAATATATAAATAAAAAATGATATTATTCGTGTATATTTATTGTACATAGAAATATTTAATATATTTTTATATCAATAATTAAATTTAATTTCTGCAAAAAAAGTATAAAAAAGAAAACTTGATTTTTCCAATGCATATTAGTCTATGCATTAATTTAGTCTATGCACTAGCCTATTAACTAATCTATATTTGTATCTCATTTTTCCTTTAACCCGATTTTTTTTATTTTTTAAACACATACACACTTCTGTCCTCAGGTAGGTTAGTGGTTAGAGTTCTAGTCTGGTAGAACGGAGGTGGTGGGTTCCCACCTAAGTCACTGGTTAAGGAGCGCACAACATGCCCAATAGAGGCCTAGGTGTATTTCTAACGATTTTTTTAATATAAACGATAACCCTTTTCAGACTAAAATATACAAAAATTGAAACTTTTAAATACATTTTTGGTTCATATATAAATACTATTGCCTCTAATTCGTCTTTCCTCACAAAAGTACTTTAGTACTCTGCATGCATGTATATAGGGTGTCCCGTGGCCTACTTTTTAGGAGCAATACCTCTAGAACGATGCGTTTTAATGTACTAAATACAAGAATAATAAAAAACAATTTTTTGGATAGGTTCTCAGTTCCCTACTTGTGATTGAAAATCTTGATCTCAGTACAATATGTAAAAAAAATTTGTCTGCAATCTTTTCGAATTGTGTGTCAAAAATTCTGTAATTTTGAGCTTGTAGCGGGAAAAATTATTAAAATTCTTGTTAGTGTATTTCTGGTCCGCATATAAAGCTAAAAATTACGAACATTTTGACACCCATATCATTTTGTGGATCAAAAATATTATACAATAATTTTAAAATTATTTTTACCGTAATCAGCTCAAAATTACGGAATTTTTGAGACCAATTTCGAAAAAATCGAAAGTATTTTATACTGAAATCATGATTTTTAATCGCAGATAGAGAACTGAGGAACATTCCAAAAAAATATTTTTTTATTTTTTTCGAGTTCAGTACATTAATACGCATCGATTGAGTGGTATTCCTACATGAAATTCTTAAAAAAGCTGTTCCTCGGAACACTCTAATGTATATGTATATGGGCATTTCCACCGAAAAGTATATTTTTTGTCACATCACGTCACGCACATTAATTGACAATATCTTAGGACCATTCTTTTTTATTGGTCGCACCTTTATCCTATGCATAGAGCTATTAGAACTCTACATAAAAATATAAACAAATTAAAAATAAGTATATTGTTTCCCTAGATATAAGCAGTTAATTGTGCGTGACGTGATGTGACAAAAGTTGACTTTTCGGTGGAAATGCCCATATACAGATTGTTAATAGATTATAACTGTAACGGTAATATTACGAAATAATTCTGATAAAGATGTTTTGCTGATAACGTTACCTGTTAATATTTATTGACCTATAAATTTCACTACACGATCAGAAAATATAAATAAAATTGTGTATGTCTGTTAGATGTTCGAAAAACAACACAAAATCTTAATGGGTCATTTGAATATTGGCCACTAACATCCATATATTCATAGAAATCAAATTTGAACAACACTTTACAGACATTGTCATATACATACATTAGACATTAATTAGAAAATATCGATGATTAAAGTGTTACCCCCGTATTTATAAAGATATTAATCATTTATTATTGGTTTATTAAGCAAATTTTCATACAATAAACCATCAATAACTTTATTAATCGTTTATCAATACGGGCGTTAAAGTTTAAATTTGATTACTTAATAAGATTTAAATGTAAAGTTTTGCTGCAAATTGTCACATTTAAATGTTTTACATTGTCTACTATTGTCTACAGAAATATTTATTAGCATTAAATAAATTAACACGTTCGTTAAACTAATCACGAGTTCAGATTAAAAAAATTTTAATTTATAATATTTTATATTTATTTATGCATTTATTCCCACACTAAGAATTATTTTAAAAAGATATTTATTAGTTATATCTGATTATTCATATCTGAAAAGAAAATGCTTTTACAACTGCTTCATTCAGTACAATGCTGATATTTTAAATAAGCTTTTTTCAGAAGTAAATGTGCTCAAATAAAATAGAAATAATAATGACAAGACAAACAACTATAAAGCTAAAACTGATAACACGAAAAGATTATTTATGATTAGTTTATAATGTGTTATGATAACAAACAACTAACCAACCAACCGATATTTTTAAGTGGACTAAATCCGCGTACCAATAGTATCTAACCTTAAAAATGATCTGTCTGTCTGTCAGACAGCTCCTACATTTATTTGTTTGCTTGTTTAGGGAGAAGATTGTTATAACTGTAAATATTATTTCTACATATGTATGTACATATGTATATGAGGAGAGTATTTGTCTGTGTATGTATGGATATTTGAAATTTTTGTATTACTTAGTAAGTTAAAATGTATGTATGTATCTTACCTAGTTTGCCCATTAAATCTTCTAACACATAGTCTACTGCCATGTTTTTGTTTTTGCTGCAGATTGACTTTTGTGTTTATGTCGTCTGTTGCGTACTTAGTGCGTATGTTTTGTATCTGAATGGGAATGTAACGAATATTTTGTTGTTTTTAAAAAATAATTTATATTTGTTGCACATCTATTTAGTATATATTTATTTAATGTATCATTTCTTAATTCAATGAACTTTGTTTATAATTTTATCTTCTTTATTGTATTCTCATTTCATTTGTATTATTTATGTATTTATTTATTGAATTGATGGAGTTATAGTGGGATTTTTTGAACTTAAATAATAAACCAGTTTTAAATGCAAAAATAAACAAAAGCAAAAACTTAGTGAAAATTACTAATGGAAAATTTAAATTTTAAATATGTTAATAATTTATTATAATTGTTTTTTTTTTTTTATTTTGTTGAATCAAGATGAATCGCAGACGTTAATTCAATTTTAGGATTCTCACCAGCAGCCAGTGAGTGAGCCAACCAGCCGATAACGTGTAAACTCTAACGCACTTATAAGTCGACTAAAAGCAATCGTCAGGCTGTTTACTGGAATTGTTTTGGGGATCTTGTTGTATAAAGCAGCAAATAAAACAAAAAGTGAAATATATTATAATAATATAAACAATTCATATACAAACATACACATACAAATACAAATGTATATCAATTTTAACAAAAAGAAAAAACGTGGCGCTCCGCTCACATTAGCAAACTCAGTTCTTTTATAAATTATATTCTCTTAATATTAAAGAAGTGTTAACACAGCGTCAGAGACGGTATTCATAATCCGTTATTAAAATTTATGAAAAACTTATAAAACAAATGTAATTTTAACAAGTAGGAAAGTATAGTCGGGCATGGCCGACCATATAATACCCTACACCATGAGTATATTTTAAAAATTTCAATTTTTCACAAAGAAACTTTTATGTTGAATTTTCCAAAGTATTTAAGCAATTTATTGATAAAAAACAAATTTTCTAAATGAGGCTTTATATAGAAATAGGTCAAACATGGGCCGATCCTCATTAAATTTTGGAAAAGGATATATTTTTAAATAATAGTTAATTATGTTGAGTTTCATTGCGATACAAATGGTTACAAATCAATTTTAGACGTTTAAGACATTTTTTGAAGGGGGGTTTGTATGGGGGCTAGGGTCAAATAAGGGTTGATCATTACGAAAATCTGCAGTGTCATTTATACTTATATGAAACTTATTTGTGCCAATTTTTAGAGAGATAATAGTATATTTGACGTAATTATGGCATAAAAAGCCCAAATCGGGAGGTACGGTTGTATGGGGGCTAGGTGAAATAATGAACCGATTTCAACCATTTTCAATTGGCTTCGTCCTTGTGCCAAAAAACATGCTTGGTCCAAATTTCATCAAATCTCGAAAATTGCGGCCTGTACCTTGCGCACAAGGTTTACATGGACAGCCAGCCAGCCAGCCGAACAGACGGACGGACACGTCTTAATCGACTCAAAATGTGATTCTGAGTCGATCGGTATACTTAAAGGTGGGTGTAGGACCAATATTTTTGTGTGTTACAAACATCAGCACAAACGTATAATACCCTCCCCACTATAGTGGTGTAGGGTATAATAATCTTTTAGGTATATTAGGGTGGTCCCAAATGATATTCCCACCAAAAAATGAAAAATTATTTAATTTTATGGTACCATTTCTCAAAATTTTTGTGCTGACGTCAATATTTAGTGAACTGGATCAAAGAATGAAAAGTACCTTTTTGAAGTAAATATTTGGTATCATATCAAAGGTCTTTCAAAAATATTTATTTCTGTGCGATTACAAAAGTAGTAACAAATTTTTAATTTTTTCGGAAATATTTTATGTTTTTCCGATTTTTACAAGGAATTATTTTTTCTTGGACAATCACTTAGGGGATGACTCCTACTTATGCGGAGCATTGTGTTGTAACTATTGTAGTTGATAACCTACTGCTCCAAAATAGACTTCGAAGCTCCTGCCCATATATGAGAGTTGTATTTCATTATTGGTAGGATATTAGTGATTTAAATAGTAAGGAGATCAAATGGAGTGAAGTATGTCTTACTCCGTTTTAAAAACCGAGACACTTTAATACTTCTTTCGACAATTAAAAATGTGTTTAGACCTGCGGACACCGCACTGTATTTTCGGTCGTTTCTGAAATTAAAAAATATGATAGAGAAATTAACGGATCCTTGCGTTACACATGAATTAATCTTGAACTCGTTTGATGAGATGCCATCTATAACAACACGTATATTGCGAGGAAAAATTTTCCGAAAAATTGTATAATGTTTAATTTGAAAAACCTTAAAAGGACATTTTTATCCTTTGATCCAGCTCACCACTACTAGACTATATTCTCCAGGAAAAATTTTTGAGAAACTGTAACTTAGAATGAACTAAAGTTTCATTTTCGACGGGAACATCGGTACCATATTCTTCTATAAGAAAAGAAGCCAACCTAATATACCTAATATACAAATTCGTTTTTTTTTTAACTAAGTTTGTCAAATTTCAAATGTCTATAATTTATGGTGTGAGATCGATTTTTATTGTAAACGTAAACTAAAACTAATTTTTTTCACGAATATTAGATAAATAAAACTAAATTTCATTTTATATGAGAATCATATTAACCTCTACTATCTAAATATGTTCCTCAAATTTATTATACCTTATACCTCTTTTTGCTTAACTTCTGTACTTTTTGCTTAACTTAATCATTTTTAATCTTCAAAGAATAATATACAGTGAATCAATTAAGTAATTTGCCTATGTAAAATTTTATAAATTTTAAGAAAAAACTTTATCTAAACAATTATTTTTAGCAAAATAAAGCAATTTGTTTGTTGTATTTTTTAAAGAATGTCTTATATTTTAATAAAATACCATAAAAAGTAAAATCATGATATTAATTAACGAGATTTTTGATCAAATGTGAACGTATTGTTAATTTTTAAGGTCAATAAAGTATTTTGCTTTTTAGGTTTTTTGTTCATTTTTTTAATATTGCTGCATTATTTTATAAAATTTAATATTTTTATTTCTCCTATGTATTAGAATAACATTTTTTAGATATTTTAGCAGTGGAACGACCAAGTTTGGACATTTCTTAACCGATTTACTATCCTATATACCTATAAGAATTTCTCAATATTTGACTTAACATGAAATCTATCGTTTCTTTGATTTAATTTCGAAAATAATAAGTAATTTTGAATTGGATACATGATATATTAGGAAATCAATGGATTTGGACCTAGAAAAAAATGTTAGTGGGGTATAAATCTATAGATTATAACAAAAATAATCTGGGTTTTTGGTCATATTGTATTGACAAACAAAAACTACATTACGGAAACCCCATCTATTTGGAGAGTACTGTGTGAATTTCATTTAGAATTTTGTAATATTGATTCTTATTCAATAAAGCTAACACTAAGTACCATCCTAGCCACTCTAAGTATGGGGATATCACCGTATACCACTATAGAACTATTACATGCTAGAATTTTGATATTCTACCTCATATTTTGAATGCTTTATTTTATGAATAAAATACAGTAGGCGTAGCTGGATTTGGATAGTTATGCTTTTGTGGACCTTAGGTGATGAGAACCGCCTCTATTTGTAAATATCTAAATTAAGTATTTTTCCTGTACCACACGACAGTTCACATTGTATTGTTTCCAAGCAACCTAAGGTCTGTTTAGAGGTCTAAATTTAAACATAGTGCTCTTTTAAGTTCGTATATGGACTTTGGAGAAGATAAATGAGGGCTTCAATGGTTTTTGCTTGGATACATGTCGCTCCCCTTTGGCAGTTTTATTTTAATAATTCTTTGTGTTATTTCATCAATTTCTATATTTTATATTTTTTAATGATTGATTAAACATCTCATAATTGAATTTCATTGATTTATGCTTGTTCTAAAAATCTAAACTAATTTTTTATATTGGAATTGCCTAATTATTTCCCTTTAAACATTTTTAACGCAAATAACTACACAGTTTCACACAATAAGGATATGATTTTTGAAAATTACATTTGAAAAATACTTAACACGTGTCCTTTTAACAATAAAACAATAAATTCCAAAAAGCAATTAAAAAATAATTTGAAAAACCCAACGAAATTAACTGGAAATTTCAATATGCAAAATACTTTATTGACGTGCAAATTCTGATGAAAAATAATAAAATGCAACAACAAATGAACCAAAACTTTTATTTTAATATTTTTTTTTCTTGGTTTTCCCATTCTACACAATCTCTATTTTCAATTGGAAAACATAAATTTACTTTTTACCTGTTTTTTTGAATTTTATTTATGAACAAAAAACTAAATTTTCTTAAAAAAGGGTAGGCAAAAAACTTAGTTGATTCACTGTATATGTACATGTGTAATTTTAATAATATCCCAGCAAAAGAGTGTAGAAAAGATGTAGTATTTTCGTCACAACCCAGCAAAAAAAGTAGTAAGCTGATAATGAACTGGTTCATAGCGTGTGATTGGGGAGCATGGGTTCGTATTTGGAAAAATTGTTCGTCATTAAAATGAGTGCTTACAACCAATGAATATTCGATGATTTTCATGCGAATTTTCATTGGTGCACTATATTTATTTTAAAATGCATTATTGAAGGTACTATGTATTAATTTTTAAAATCTAAATTAATTTTTTAACGTAATATTGATAAAAATTTTGTATGATAACAAAATAAAATATTAATAGCTGATTTTAAATTGCATTAAAATTGATTCAGAGTAAAAATACTTATTATATTTTACAATCCGTTAAGCAGTCAGTTGACTTGGTTTTTTCCTTCTCTTATTAAGTAAGATTTTAAAATGGACTTGATATTACTAATTTTAACAAATATTTAATACTAAAACCTAATAAGATTAATGTTATTTTTAATATTTATTTGTATAAAATTCACGTTTCCTTTAAATCCTAAGAGAATACCAAATTACAGTGAAATATTACAATTCCTATATTGGAGTTACATGAGTGAATTGGATGTAATTTTTCATGCGTTGACTAGCATGGGTAGACAATCCTTGATAGTTGTCCGTTGAACTCCGAATCGTTCCGGTGCGAAGAACCGATTGTCGTGGGAACGGCTATGATTGAGGACTAAGAAATTTCACATTTTGTTTGAAAATTTTTATATGACTATTCGATTTTAGTTTTCAAATTCACAAACCTATATTCTATTTTTAAAGTTAACTTAACTTTTTTATGCGTAACACATGTCCTTCGAGGATCACGACACATTACATTTTGTTCCATTACTTTCATACTGATCCATTTGAGCATCCACCATGCGTATAGAACCACCACTACGCACGGAAACGCCAACGAATTCGTCATATTTCACCCATTGAGATTTATGGTTTTAAATGTTCACTTTGGTTGTTGCTGCATGTTTGGGATACACCATAAATACATTTTTCTTTCAAATTTTATCATATTAAACTTCAGCTAGTATTCTCCAGTCATGCAGGTAAAGCTAATGTGTTCCTGAGAAATCATATATCACAATGGGGGAAATTTGGTGATATTCATTGCATATTTTTCGATATTAAATACTTTAGTAAAAAAAAAAACAAGTAAGAAAGTATAGACGGGCTTGGCCGACTATATGATACCCTACACCAGTTATGAATATTTAATGTGATTTATTTTTCATAATAAAGCATTTATCTTGATTATTACCTTGATTTATTTAAGCAATTTATTGACGAAAAACTTATTTTCTAAAAGAGGCTTTATATGGGGGATAGGAGCAAATGTGGACCGATCCCGATAAGATGGGCTGGATAGATTTGTATTTACAGTGAATCAATTAAGTAATTTGCCTATGTAAAATTTTGCCTATGTAAAACTTTATCTGAACAATTATTTTTAGCAAAATAAAGCAATTTGCTGGTTGTATTTTTTAAAGAATATCTTATATTTTAATTTTTTACAATAAAAAGTAAAATTGTGATATTAATTAACGAGATTTTTGATAAAATGTGAACGTATTGTTAATTTTTAAGGTCAATAAAGTATTTTGCTTTTTTAGGTCTTTTGTTAATTTTTTTAATATTGCTGCATTGTTTTATAAAATTTAATATTTTTAGTACTCCTATATATTAGACTAACATTTTTTAGATATTTTAGTAGAGGAACGACTAAGTTTGGACATTTCTTAACCGATTTATTATCCTATATAAGCTGGATTTGGATAGTTATTCTTGATTTGGGTTCTAACTATATATAAGTGTATGTATTAGCTGAAAAATATTGCTTTTGTGGATCTTAGGTGATAAGAACCGCCTCTATTTGTAAATACCTAAATTAAGTATTTTTCCCGTACCACATAATAGTTCACTTTATATTGTTTCCAAGCAACCTAAGGTCTGTTTAGAGGTCTAAATTTAAACATAGTGTTCTTTTAAGTTCGTATATGGACTCTGGAGAAGAAAAATGAGGACTTCAATGGTTTTTGGATTTTGAAAGACAACTCAGTGCGTTTTTTTAATAATTCTTTGTGTTATTTCATCAATTTCTATATTTTTATTTTTTAATGATTGATTAAACATCTCATAATTGAATTTCATTGATTTATACTTGTTCTAAAAATCTAAACTAATTTTTTATATTGGAATTGCCTCATTATTTCCCTTTAAACATTTTTAACGTAAATAACTACACAGTTTCACACAATAAGGATATGATTTTTGAAAATTCCAATTGAAAAATACTTAACACGTGTCCTTTTGTCAATAAAACATTAAATTCCAAAAAGCAATTAAAAAATAATTTGAAAAACCCAACGAAATTAACTGGAAAAATAATAAAATGCAACAACAAATGCACCAAAATTTTTATTTTAATATTTTTTTCTTGGTTTTCCCATTCTACACAATCTCTGTTTTCAATTGGAAAACATAAATTTACTTTTTATCTGTTTTTTTGAATTTTATTTATGAACAAAAAACAAAATTCTCGTAAAAAAAGGTAGGCAAAAAACTTAGTTGATTCACTGTATATAATATTTATATATAATATATATATAATATTTGTCTGTGCTTAATTTCATTGCAATAACAGTGCTTTTTTGTTATTTTCTGCTAAATTTATGTCCAGATTTTTTTGGGGGTAAATTTACTTTGGAAAGAAAAATATGTAATGTGTCGTGATCCTCGAAGGACATGTATTACGCATAAAAAATAATTTATTAAACAAGTAAGAAAGTATAGTCGGGCGTGACCGACCATATGATACCCTACACCAGTTATGAATATTAAATGTGATTTATTTTTCACAATAAAGCATTTATCTTCAATATTCCCTTGTTTCGATACATTTAAGCAATTTATGGATGAAAAACTAATTTTCTGAAAGAGGCTTTATATGGGGGCTAGGGGCAAATATGGACCAAGCCCGATAAAATTTAGTGAATATATTTATATTGACATAATATTTTATTGTGCTGAATTTCATCGCGATATTTGTGTTTATAAGTTAATTTGAGACATTCAAGTAATTTTCTGAAGGGGACTTTGTATGGGAGCTAGGGTCAAATGGGGCCCGATCTTTATGAAATTTGGCAGGGTCATCAAGACTTCTATAAAACTTAGTTGTGCCGTATTTTATAGATGTATCTGTATATTTAACATAATTATGAGCTCAGAAGCCCTTTTCGGGGGGTTCTGTTCTATGGGGGCTAGGTGAAATAATGGACCGATTTTAACCATTTTCAATAGGCTTCGTTCTTGGGTCAAATAAAACGTGCGTGCCAAATTTCATCCAATTATCTTGAAAATTGCGACCTGTACCTTGCGCACAAGGTTTACATGGACAGCCAGCCAGACGGACGGACGGACATAGCTTAATCGACTCAGAAAACGATTCTAAGACGATTGGTATACTTTAAGGTGGGTCTAGCACGAATATTTTTGTATGTTACAAACATCAGCACAAATCCAATATACCCTCCCCACTAAAGTGGTGTAGGGTATACAAAGTTGCGAACTATAGGAAATATTTTATGTTATAGGTAACATATACCAAGCGTGCTAACTCCATGTCCACCATTGTACAAATGTATATGCCAAATCCGAATTTTCGAATTTAATTTCGATTTTCGGACTACGGGAACTGGTCGAAAATTCAATTACGAAATTTTTACCAAATTACAATCCAAATAAAAGCTTGTTAAAATGTGCTAGTTTAGACAAAATTTACATGAAATTACAAAGAACATCCCTGAAATTCATTTTCTGTAAACCAGAAACCAAAATATAAAAACGCAACAAATAAAATTTTCAGCTGTCAACGAATTCAACATCATTTCAAAAATGGTAGTATGAATGTGCTATTATTTAAATTTAAACAAACGAACAAACAACTTTTGTTATCGATAACTATAATTAATTTTGTACCACTTTATAGGGTTCTATAGTTGAAACGAAAAGTCGACTTTTCGATTTTTTTCATTTAGATAAAAGTCGACTTTTTGCATTTTATGAAAAGTCGACTTTTCGACTTTTTTCATTTAATTAAAAGTCGACTTTTAGACTTTTCGACTATAAGTATTTTATAAATAGTCGACTTTTCAACTTTTTTCGACGTTTCGACTTTTTTCGACTTTTTCGACTATTTCCGACTTTTTTCGACTTTTTCCGACTTTTCGATTTTTTTCGACTTTTTGACTATTTTCGACTTCTGTCGACTTTTTTTCGACTATTTTTTGACTTTTTTCGAGTTTTTCCGACTATTTTAGAGTTTTTGACTCTTTTTTTCCATTTTTTTTAAAATTTTCGACTATTTTTGACATTTTTCTACAATTTTCGAGTTTTCGACTTTTTCCGACTTTTTACGACTCTTCGACTTTATTCGATTTATCGACTTTCAGACTTTCGAAAAGTCGAGTTATCGACTTTTTTGGAACAAAATAGTCGACTTCGACTTTTAGACTTTTTTTGACAAAAAGTCGATTGTTCGATTATTCGAAAGTCGATTTATAGAACCCTACCACTATATTTCCAGCACTGTTTTTCGGCCATCCATATTTTGAAGAGTTGTCAGTGCGCAAGTTATTCATAAATAAAAAATAAATATGTTATTTTTACCAATCTAAATTTTAAAAGAAATATTATAATTTCTTTTAAAATTAAAGTTAATTCAAAAATTATATCAAATCAAAAAGACTGATTTAAGTCCTTTTTTAGACTTTGGTAACCCCTACAAAAAGCAACTATGCTGTAGCCGTCGTTCTGTTTCCATTCGTTCCTGTTGTCAATCGTAATATTCCCTAGCAGAACGTATGGAAAAAATCATAAAACTCTTGTTCTTCGGTTTAATAATTTTTTGCATCGTTGAATTAATAGGAAATATTTTTTTGTTTTGTAGAAAGTGAAAAAATTGGGAAAAAATGTTTTCCGGTGGAGATTCGAGTGAGGGTATCAACAGTTTAAATCAGTTGGGTGCCTATGGATTCGTTAATCAAGTTGCTGTCACAAATGCAATGGCTGCTGGCCAGAATATTGATTGGGCCCAGTTGGCTCAGCAGTGGATACAAATGCGTGATAATTCAGCTATAGAAACAAAAATGGATTATAATACAGCGAGAGCTGACAATGTCAGTGGTCCTAGTTGCAATAACTTAAAGTTTGAAGAAAAAGGCGAAGCAGATATGGACATGGATGACGAAGAACAAACGGATGAGAAAACAACACTGCGACCAAACAACGAGATTACTGCTACCTCAGCGGTTAATAACTTAAATCAACCATGGTTCTTTGGTGAAGGAACTTCACAAATAGGTGAACAAATAAATATATATTTTTTAATTTTTGCAATTAATATGTGTGTAATGATAGTGCCTCGATCAGCAAATAGCAGTCAATGGAATGCATGGCCAAATCGAGAAATGACAGAATCAAATAAAAATGTAAATCGGCCTCCAAATCCTACAGCTCACATTCCATCCTTATTAAAAATGACTGTACCGCATCCCAATGAAATAAGAGTAATGTCCGATACTTTTAATCAGGCGGAAAATAACACTAATATGATGGATGCTGCTAAAAGGAAAGGTTTGCCAGCATGGATAAGGTACATTCATACATATATTTAATTTTTATGTAGAATTGATTTAGAATTAAAAATGATTGGATTGTATACATTAAATTTAGGGAGGGATTGGAAAAAATGGAACGAGAAAAACAGAAGCAATTAGAAAGGGAACAACAAAAAAAAGATAATACAAATTCATCTGATGAAGATAATCATCCTTCTCCTAAAGATGTTTTGTCTAAAACCCTAAACCCTTCAAATGGCAGTGTAAGTATAGGGCTTAACATTTTCTGCATCTTATTTTAAAAAAATATTTCAAAAGTTTGCAGTTTTGGATGAAGAAAGTACTGACGATGAAGACACAACTATAATAAAGAGCACAAATAATGAGGCAGAAGTGGATTTAAAAAAAGACAACTTAGAAGACGACACATTAAATTCTCCAGTGGCTAAAACTTATGAACAAAAATTGGCAGATTTGGTAAACAATCTATTTTTGTATTTAAATTTAAACATCGATAAACATATTATATTATTTACTTCATTCATTTCTAATAAAGATGGCAGTGGTACGCCGAACATTAACTGAACTTTTGCTAGAAGCCACTAATGAAGAAATCTCCAAAGTTGCTGAAGAAACAATTAAAACATTTAAAACTAAAGGTAACTATTTATTTGTTAGTACTAAAAGAGTTTTATAGTTCTTTTCGCAGCTAACTCTACGGGCAAGTGTAAGTCTAAATTTGTAAAAATAATCGATTTAAGCATATTTCTGTTTTGTTTAAAATCCTATTATAATATGTAATATAATGTACATTTTACATATACAAACTAAAAGCGTCATCAGTACAAGTGATCCGCAAAAGCGCTTTATCTACCTTAACTGGCAAATTGGGTAAGTCTTTTTCCGATTTTATTTATCTACAATGAATAGAATATATGTACATACTATAAAAAAACAAATAAATTAGCTTTACACATTTTGGAAATTAATTGTTTAGGAAAAGATTCTACAAATAGTTTTATTAAATTCTCAGATAATTTGTAAAGTATCGTCTTAATTTTAAATATGATTATGACAAATATATAACTGTTAGGATATTTTTCTATTAGATAGTGTATCTTTAAATGATTTCACCCGTGTATTGTTAAATTCTTCTTGATTCGACCTTTAATTAGTTGAGAAGCTTTATCCTTTTAATACTGTAGACTGTGAATGTACTATTTGAACTAGCACGAATTAAATTATAGGTTTAGCAGCATATGGTGACAGTTCAAGTGAGGATAATAGTGAAGATGACGATGATGTGCACAATTCTTCCAAAAAGGCAACAGGTCAATCGGAAAGCGAAAATGATTCTGAGGAAGAAATACGGGTAAAATTGTTATCAAACTATTAAATATAAACGAATGTCATTTCCATACTTGCCAACAGAATATTATACGTTCAAAACGAAGGGCTTTTATAAAAACATCCGAAGAAATAGAAGAGCGTGTAGCAACAGCCGCTGCTCGGGAAGAGGAGAAGCTTAAATATTTTTCACGTAAGGAAGAGGAAGAGGAGAGAGAACATAACCGCAAAAAACAAGAACGATCATCATTAAGAGAGCCGTCATCTTCTAGCCATAGTGGAAACAATATTTTCAAAGGTTATGAAAAAGATTTTGGTGAGATAACTGAAACAAAGATACAAAATCTAAACGGTACGTCAGCTTATACATAATCTTTTATATTGTACTTTGACTAAATTTTTCAATCGAATATTTAGGCGAAATAATTGAAATTACGATTCGTTTTTTTTTATTTTTAAAATTGATAAAAGTATAAAAAATGTATTTTATTTGAAATCCTTGCCTTGTTTCTATATTTCTCGATAGTTTTACACATTTAAGTTTAACAAGAAGTATTTATATGCACCTTGTTTTATACAAGATGATTATACATTTTCCGGAATTTTTACTCGATTTGAGAAATACTGAAACGAGGTACTATATATGTATATCGTGTTATAAACCTAAACCATTTATATGCACCTTGTTTTATATAAGATGATTATACATTTTCCGGAATTTTTACTCGATTCGAGAAATACAGAAACGAGGTACTATATATGTATATCGTGTTATTTTAAGAATGATAATATTGCGTTGAAAATTTAAAATTTCGGTAAAATTTAAATATTACAGTTTCCAAAAGAACTTTTTTGCTACACTGTTGCAATGATGTGAGAATAAAAAGATAAAGGGCTTACTATGTACAAACCTTTTTGAAAAGAAACGTTTTTGAACCTTAGTAAATAAAAATATTAATATTTTCAAATCGAGTTAACGTGTTTTTAGTTCCTATCGTTACAAGCCTTTTTCTGGAAAAAGAGTATTGAAATCACGAGATTCGCTGAAAACATTATCAATAATAGAAAATTAAAATATAACTCCAATGTATTATGTTTATAAGAATGCATACATACTAAGTCTAAATTTTCAAGCTCAACCAATTGATAACAAAAAATAATTTTCTTAAATTATTTTCTTCCTAGGCAAACGTCAAAGGGATCGCAGTAGTCGGAGAGAACGCACCACGCGTTTTAGTGATAACAAAGATAAATATGTAGCGTTGCCAAATGCAGCGACTTTTCTCACAAATATGAATACTGCAACAAATTCAGGAACTACAGCACCTTTATCAAATAATATCCAACGTCAAAATATTCCCGACATAAATGGTTTATTGCCAAATTATACCAATACGGGAATGACAAATGTTTTAAATGCGGCTGATGCTGCATTAGAGAAAGTATTAAAAGGTAAATCGTCCTCCAGTCCTGAAAAGCAAAGTCGAAGACATGATCGAGATCGTAATTATCTTCCCTCAAAGAAGAGACAACGTACAAGCGGTGGTAAAAATTCACGGTCTCGTTCCAAGTCTAGTTCTTCTTCATCCACATCCTCCTCCTCTTCTTCTACATCATCAGATTCTGATTCTTCTTCTACTTCGCGATCATCTCATCATTCGAAGCATAATCACCGATCAGCTACAAAACATAAATCTCATTCATCTTCAGACAGGCACTATGAAAAAACACACAAAGATCATAGGGGTGATCGCAAATATTCATCGTCATCTTCGTCGTACAGAAAAAAGGACCGTGAATCAAAAAGTCGTCGTTACCATCGTAACGGTTCTAGTGATTCAGAAGACGAATACCGTCGACGACACAAATATGATTCCCATTACTCGCGCAATTCTTCCCACTCGCGTAGTTATACTTCCTCTAGACGTGATCGCGACCGCGAACATTCACGTTCACAGTCTAGATCATCTTATTCTTCTTCCAGTACTCGCAGGCAATAAATTTATTTTTCTTTTTCCTAGGTGAAACTAAATTCAACGTATATACGTATAGATGTATGTACATACATTCGTACATACAGTGTCTCTCATAAGTATTCGAATTTAGGTATAATATGAAAAGAAACCAAATTTAATAATATATTTTGTGTGCAGAATTAATAACTTAATTTGTTAAATTGTCTAGACAGTCCTTAGCTTTGATATCACGCTTTTTAAAACTTTAAAAAATCACATTTACTTAAATTAATTTAGCTTTATTTAAAAAAGTCCATAAAATTACCTCACAAAAGTATACGAATTTTCCTGTATTTCATATTTGACTATATTATACGAAACACAAAAATTAGAATCGAATGTTTTTTTTGCTAAAAATTGTTTTAAGGGGTAACTATCAACCGAATGGATATATTTTTGGCCCATTTGGTCCACAATTTTGGGGCATTTGTACCATCTTTTCATGTAATATCATTAAAATGGCGATTTTTAGCAATATTTGTATTTTTTTCTCCTTTTTCCCAGAGATAAAACCAAAATTTGTTATTGGGATTTAATATACCCCTTGGAGTATCTAAAAATAATATTTTTTGTTACAAAAATCTGTATTTAAACGTTCCAATATATATTATTGGAATCATTCTTCTATCGCTAATTCAATTTATTGGAACTCAAGTCCATTTTTATAATACCAGGGTCAAAAATTTTCGGGGAAACTTGTCTTCTATATATTGTTTTAGATATCAGCTGTTATACATTTTAAGCTTTCAATATATTGTGGAAGTGTACAACTCCAAAGCATGCCTCGAAGAAACGCCATTCAATATAGTGGAAACATTCTTTTTATAACCATTGGCCTCTAGGCTGAATGTCACCATATCATTATGGTCTAACTCAAAAATATTGATTTCTGTTTAAATATTATCTACTAGATCAAAATAAACCCAAAATTTTGGACATACAGCGTTTTTGTAATGGGTAACATAATCGTGAATGTTATGAGTAGTAAAAACTGAAATCTACTGTATAGGATGACATTTTGTTAAGGCATGTTTTGGAGTTGTATACCACTACGATGTCTTGAAAAATTAAAATATATTAGTGCTAATATCTACAATAATATATACTAGCCAACTTTGTCGAAAAATATCGATCCTAGTGGTACGAAAAGGGACTTAAGATCCAGATAATTCAATAAGAAACAGAAGAACGATACCAAAAATATATCTTGGAATGTTTAAGTACAGGTCCTTATAACAAAAGTTATTATTTTTAGATACCTCAAGGAATCTATTAAATCCCAATATTAAATTTTGGTTTTATCTCTTGAAAAAGAGAAAAAAATGGCAAATATGGTCAAAAATCGTCATTTTAATAATATTATATGAAAAGATGGTACAAATGCCCCAAAATTGTGGGCCAAATGGGCCAAAAATATATCTTTTCGGTTGATAGTAACCCCTTGAAATAATTTTAAGCAAAAAGACCATTCGATTCTAATTTTTGTGTTTCGTAAAATATGGTCAAATATGAAATACAGTTAAAATTCGAATACTTTTGTGAAGTAATTTTATTGACTTTTTTTAAAAAAAGTTAAATTTATTTAAGTAAATGTAAATTATCTAAATTTTAAGGAGTGTGATATTAAACCTTAGGACTCTCTAGACAATATGTCAAATTTAATTATTAATTTTACACACAATAAATATTATTAAATTATGTTTCTTTTAAAAGTACACCTAAATTCGAATACTTATGTGAGACACTGTACATACAATTCACATGCAGTAAGTTTGTATGTACTTCAACGGCAGCGTTTCATATTGAAATACATACATACAATATATTGTTTTGTATTGTATTCAATTATTTTATGAAAATTCTTTATTTGTTATTAAAAAAATGAAATTTCTTATTATGGCATAGCAGTAGAGGGATTTTCCTCATTATACCAACAAAACATTATTAATAATTTTCATCTTTTATTTTATCTGAAGCAACCTTCATTAAATAAATTATAAAATACTCACAGTATAAAACTTGTGTTTTTCTTTTGGGGAAACTGGATTAAAAAAGTGTAACTTCCACAAAAGTAGGATAGTAAAAAATCTCTAATATACATACATATCGTCACCTAAAACGCAAGCGGCCCTATCTAACATTTTTAAAATTTTACAGAAGCAAAAAACTATTTAAATTGAAAAGTTTGTTTCTATCAACGTGATTTATTTGTAGTAAATAAACAAATTGTTTAATAGTGAAACTTATCATTTGCTATGATAGTTCACAATGGCGTATATAAAAATGGATAAATTGGACTTTTTGCCTTTAAAATTTTAATGTTTTTGTAGATAGGGCCTTTTGTTTTTTATCAATAAAATTTATAATTTTGGTCGGAGTAGTTTTGGTGTGGACATTTGATTTGATGCAATACATTAGAATCAACAATAAAATCAATTTTGAATTTTTGGTTAGTTAGGGCCGTTTGCGTTTCAGGTGACAATATGTATGTAGGTAGGTAATTTATTGGAATTAATTTAACAGCAACTATAAATTATTCTTGTACAATTTGAACAAACTCCAATTGGACGAGGTTGGTCTCATTTTCGCTTTTGTCATCATTAGTTTTTAACTCACGTTTGCATACTCTCCAATTAGCAAATGGATCGTCATATTCATCTTTAGGCGAGTGATGATTTTTTTGTCGCCGATGCGTTTTTAATGCTGCTCCACAGATAAAAGCTTCTAAGCAAACACTACATTTGTATGGCTTTTCTCCAGTATGTCTTCGCATATGGATTTTAAGGTCATTTGATTGAGCGAAACTTCGCTGACATTTAGTACATTTATACGGGCGTTCTCCGGTGTGAACACGCATATGGCGGGCTAATTTATTTGCACGTGAAAATGATTTACCACAAATGGTGCACATGTGGGGTTTTTCGCCAGTATGCTTTCGTTGATGTACAACAAGATCTTGACGTCTGGGAAATCCTTTCTCACATTGATCACACTGATAAGGGTTTTCTCCAGTGTGTCTTCTTATGTGCACAATGAGGCTAGCTTGTGTGAAGTTCTTACCACAGTACGGACAATTTCCCCTTTTGTAGTTATGCTTTGTTTTAATCAATTTCTTATCTTCGTCCCCAAGTTGTTCCACTTCCTTGGAATGGGTTGCCGTTAAATGTCGAATATAATTGTTACGTCGCTTAAACATTTGTGGACAATAAGAACATGATATTTGTTTATCATCCGCTGCCGCGTGTACTTGTGTAGATATATTTGCCAATTCCTCAGGCAGTAATGCTGTATGTGCAGTTTTTATATGCCGATCTAAAGTTTCAATTTTGGCAAACGTTCTTTGGCAGCTGCTGCATTTGTAATGACTTGAAGACAAACGTTTAGACAATCGCGACCCAACAGCATCCTCAACTTGTTTCGTTTTATTTGTTTGTTCAGGAACTCTAAATATAAGACAAATTAAATTAAGAATTCATAAATTATTCATTATTTGCATCTTTTACATGTTACTATCAAATATATCCACTACTGATTCCGCTGACACCACTTCCGTACTAAATACTTCAATGTCTGTGGAGCGTTGCTCGTGATCCGTTTGAAACTCCTCGTCCAATATCTCAATATCTTGTATATCTATATCAGTAGCGTCAATCTTATTATCTTCATCCTCTGGCTTCAATTCCTCGACTGACTGATTGTTATCCCCCTTTAAATAATTCTCTATACTTATTTCTGCCCGTTCTACAGAACAAATAAATTCGTAGGCATGTAAAAGGCGTTCAGTGCACTCCTGACACAAGCGACAAGGTTTTTCATCATCGTATTCGACCACCTACAATTAGGGAAGTTGAAAATATATATTTTACAATAACAAACTCATCCATGACTTGAATATCCCTGGATTTTGTAAAATCTAGCAACGAACTGCCTAGTTCTATGTAGCATTCTGGGATAATTACCTCAACGTTTGTGACCTTTTCGAATATATTTGCCAACTTTATGTACTCTTCATATTCTACTTCGTCGAAAATAGAATTTGATTCCGAATTATATTGTAAACACACTCGACAGGAATATCTTAAAGATTCCATTATATTTCAAACAATAATAAATTATAATAACATTGGTCCACTGATACAAGCAAATGCAAAGTGATCGGCGGCAGCTGCTACACCATTTTTGGTCGACGGCGGCGGCTTGTTATAAAAAATACCGGTGGCGGCTATAATATCGGCATACTCGTATCTGAAAAGTGACTCAACTAAAATTTTATTTTTCCGTTTTTATATTCTTTAAACCTTAAGTTTAAGCCATAAACTATGCACAAGATACTTGTTAACTGTTGAAGAAAAAACGTTATGTCTTTCTTTATGTATCAGAATTTGCAAAAGATTTGTTCCCTTTTGAATCACTTTTGGGAACTAATATACATTGGGTATAAATCTCCAATTTTGACAAAAATTTTACCACTTATAGGCCTTTTAATTCTATGATTTATGATATATGTCTTTTGGTCAACAAATGTATAGTTATGGAGTTATAGACCTTCGAAGTTAAATATATATATTATCAATATCTTCCCTATTTAAGAACCTATCCGGACAATATATATATATCATTAGAAAGAGCTCTGAAATACCTTTTCAACGGTATATAATATGATCCTTTTTATTAACCCTTTGAGGACCAATTCCACAAAAAGTATTTTTTATATAGAGTTTTTTAATAAGTATAGACGATATTGTAGTTGGAATAAGGTAAAGTACCTAAAATTAATGTTTTTTATTTGATATTAGTTAATTGTTGTTGTTTTGGCAGGAATAAAGTATTATAACTATATAAAGTACTAAACTAAATATACATTAAATATTGAAAATTACATCAAAATACCTTTCCAACGATATATAATAGAAGCTAATTTATTAGCATATTGAGTAGGATTAATACAAACTGTGCTTTTTATATTAACTTTTGTTAATAAAAGTTCTGTTATATCAAAAATTCATTCATAAGAAGGTACCGATTTATGTATATTGAGTAAATTGCGATTTTTCTGGGTAAATATTCGGAAATGGACCCGAACAATTTTTTTAAATTTTTTGGGTAATGAAATGTTGTATTTGTAAACCCCGGGTAAACATTCGAAAATTGGATGATAGAGCCGCAGGCGAAAAATTATTTAAAAAAAAATCGTGCGATTTTTTTCAAATAATTTTTCACTTTTTTAAATAATTTAAAAATTTTTTTGTCACAGTCTCTCTTAACTATTTTTAAACTTAAATATCATCCCCATTCATTAAGATATTAGCACATATCTATACATCAAATGAAAGCTTGAAATTTTTTCTACAATTTTCTCGATATTTATCGGTACCATTATATCGATGGATTTATGAAATAACGACACTTTCATCAAAAAACTCTATATAAAAAATACTTTTTGTGGAATTTGTTCTCAAAGGGTTAATAAATGCCGTCATACCTTTGAAAAGGTATTTCAAAGCTCTTTCTAACGATATATATATTGTCAGGATCGGTTCATAATTAGAGAAGATATTGAATATATATAAATTTAGCTTTGAAGGTCTATAACTCCAAAACTATACATTTGTTGACCAAAAGACATATATCACAAGTCATAGAATTGAAAGCTTTATATGTGGTATACATTTTTTCAAGATCGGAGAGTTATACCTATAATATATTTAAGCCGTTTTCTTAATATTCAGACTGTTTTCAAATAAAATTGCGAATAACATTCTGAATTTGCCCAATTTTTTTGCCAAATTCCTGTGATTTTTGACAGCTTCCAAAAACGCTAAAATGTAGCCATTTTATTCTTCAGTAAGTGACTTGCCGCGGCCTATTTTTTAAAAAATATCTGTCTATATTCACAGACAATAGAATATGAATGGATTTTTCCCACTGCCAGCAGTAAGCTGATTTTATTCTGAATGAACCTAATCAATTGATCCAAAAAAATATAGCTAAAAAACGTAGTTTGCTAGAAAAAAATTATTAAAAATCAGCAATTAGGTATTGCGCTAATTTTTTTCTTACTAGTGATACCTAAGACATCATGTTATTATTTAAAATTATAAAATTACTAATTAGTCCTTTACTTTTTGCAAATAATTAATTTGAATGTGAACAAAACAGTGAACCTATTTAAGTGAGCGGGAGTGTATATATATAGGTTTCATTAAAATTTTTAGTGAAATTAAAAATTTTTAATTAAAATTTAAATTTTTATTGAATATGTTGAAAGAAATTTAAAAAACAAGGTCTTTTATTTGAAAATCCATGTTAAAAATGATTTTCAAATAAAAGATTAATATTTAATCAGAGTAGGAAATTTTTGCATTCGTTAATATTATTTTATTTATTTATATCGTTATACAACTCATTTTCACGAAATTTATAAAAAATATTTGTATTTCAACGAAAACGAATAGAACATGAATAAAATTCACATACATACGTACAAAATATGTGTGTCCAAAAAACCATTGTATTTTTTAAATTATAATGTTCTCAGTTTATAAATTATTTGAATCACACTTCTAAAAAGTGGAAGACTCTTGTAGTTTAATGTTTTATTTTCAAATCAAAGTATACAGAACACAGGCGCAGGGCTGGAAACTATAGGGTGACAAACTGACACTGAAATTTATAGTTAGGTTCCGCCGTCGTAAAATTAAGGCGACACAGATCTCTAGCAAGGCAATGACATTTAAACACAACTGTCATATAAGAAAAAGTGGCGTTTCTGAAATGTGCGCTGTTTTCTAAAATTACTCCATAAATTGAATAAATTAATAAAAATTTTAAACAACGTTAGTAATAGAAGTATTCGGAAGTAGATCAGATATCATAATGGATGGGAATAGTTCGTTAGAGAGACGATACAGCTTTAACATGGCTCAAGTTAATCCTGTTGCCGAATCCACACATCTTAATGGAAGCAGGTGAGTTTCGTTGAAGACAATTGCACATAATAATAGAGTTTTCATTTGATTGCCTTTAATATTGTATATAGTTTTTCATGGGGTACTTCACTGAGTCCAAAGCATCGAAGTAATTCAAGCATTTGTTTAAATAATACACACACACCTTCGGCCTGTAATAACAAATCAATTGTCAGTCCAAAATCTAAAAATATTACGAAAATTGATGCAAGAATAGCAGCCGATGTTCAAAGCAAAGGTTTAGCGTCACGCATTGTTAAATACCATGAGAGTGGAACTAGATTAAATCGCAGCATGTCAGCACATAATCTATACAGTAAGCCAGGACAGTTTCCAGCAGTCACCCTTAAGAAAACTGATTTACCGTATAGGGCTACTAAACAAGAACTCTCCATGATACGAATAGCTCCACCAGGTTTGTATATTGATGATTAGGTTTATTTCTAGAAAGGTTTATTAATTTATATATTTTTTCGATAGAGAAATCATCGTTTTTGGGAAACACGATTTCTAGTCTTTTAAGATCCAGTTCTGTCATGGGTTTACAACAATCTAAACGAAATGAAGATTTGTCCCGAGAGAATCGGCCTATAATTCACCCACCTCCTACAGAGAATGATATGGCTCCAACACGGAGTGTTTTAGATGTACTGAAAGAGATATCCCGTAAACGTATTAACAGTGATGTAAGTTTACTTACTTCATTCTTTTTATAACAAGGGTAAATAAACAAATATATTTATTTCAGGATTTAGAAGTGGATGAAACCTCAAAAAAATATTGCAATCGTGCTGGAAATGACTCGGTTGATACTGGAAACAATACATCAACAATTCCACAACATTTTTTAACGTCATCGTTATCTTGCCAACGATACAAAAGACAACGGGATTGTATAACGCCACATCATAGTGTACAAATACCAGAAACCAGAACTTCCCCAGAACAAGCCAAAAAACGCGTATGTAATTACAATAATGACATTACAAGTTCACTTAGTTCAAGCATAAAATGCAAACCATATGGAAATGCCAAGAGAGTTTCAGCATCTACTAATCTCAATCAAACGATGCCAACAAATTTAGAATCATATGAAATGCAAAAAGCAAAAATGCAACGATACCACGATCATAGTAAGACAAATAACACACGAGTCGACGTGAGATTTGAAAATCTCGAAAATACTTTGAGAAAGGTGGATAACACTATAAAACCCATAACTCCTATTCCAACAACTCCTTGTGGTCAGGATCAGAATAATATTGGAGGGGTTCCTCCTATGCGGACCGTATCGGAGCCAACTTATAATCCCGATCGGACAAGTCAAATGAATTTAATACAGGCAGCTAACAAACCTCGCTTAACATTGTTCAACAAGAAGTATGACGACGATGAATGCACAGGAACAAACGAATCGGGCACATCTATAGGCGAAAACACTGACGATTTAAATGATCTTGGCGAATGTGCGGGTATTCCATTTGTTAAGCCCAAGAAGTTATCATCAATAAGTGGTTTAAGAAATCCTGTGATAGAACGAACACAAAAATCTAAGCTGGCTTTGATGTTGAGTGGATTAAGAGGAGAACTTTATCAGAACTCCGATGGTGATGAATTAGATTCGGCAAAAGAAAAACTGGACATACCAGACAACCACAAAGTAGACACTAATTCCTCTGCAGTAATATCAGCATTAAAATCTACTAGCACAATAACCACTTTAACTACAGTCACATCCTCCTGTAACGCGGGAATGACAAACACATCTAGTTCATTGAACTTTTCTACGAATACAAAAACATCCTCTCCTTTAGTTGGACTGAAATTATCCCAACCAAAGGTATCATCGGCAAATGTTGGTAGTACATTGAGTATTGATGCTACTAAAAACTTGGAAACCAACCCAAAACCAAATGTACCCGTTTTAGGTGGTTTCTCTTTCGGCACTTCCAATACAAGTTCTACACCAGTTGTTAATGCTGTTTTATCTAATAGTACTCTAAAAGATCCTAAAGCTTCAGAAGCATCAATCTCATCTATTTCAGCAAATAATAGTAATGCTTTTAACTTTGGCCAATCAACACAGTTGACGTCAAAGCTTTCGTCTGCTTCGGATAGTAATAACACGAATAAATTGTCAGCAAATCCACAAACTTCGACAAAAGATAACTTGATACAATTTCCTGCTGTAAGTGCTGCATTCACATTAGCTACCACCAAAACAAGTACAGCTTCAACAGTGCCAAGCTCTTTGTCAGCTACAAGTGCTTTCAGTTTCGGAACAAATGTAACAGCACCAGCATCTACGATTAGTACTTCAACCGCAGCTGTGGCTGCAACCTCTTTCACAAGCACTGTTAAGCCAAATAATGGTTTTAGTTTTACTGCCCCTTCTACTACGTCTCTGCCAGTCACTAACGCTTCAGTTGCTCCAATAATGTTTGGTGCATCAGCGTCTTCAGCGACCTCAATCAACAGCACTACCACTACTAGTGCCATAGCAACCACAACAACTAGTGTGCCAACTTTTGGCGCAGTTACTACATCTGCAAATCTAGGTGGTTTAACGAGTACAACTTCTTTTGCATTTAATACATCGAAGCAATCGTCAACAATACAACCAATAACAGTTTCTTCAAGTAGTGGTGTGGTCTCCGCCCCTACTTTTAATTTTGGTTCAAATGTTAATTCTCCATCTGTTCCTACATTTGGAACAAATACGAATGCAGTAATTAAACCTCAACCCACTAGCTCTGGATTTTCGTTTGGTTCTGACCCCAAAAATCAGAATTCGTCATCAGGTGCGCAAAATGACCTTGCAGCCACTTCTAAGCAGCCAGACAATAATGCCTTCAATTCGAGCTCATCAACGTTATTTGGATCACCAGGATTTAATGCACCATCAAGTGGTCCTACTCCTATATTTGGTAATGCCACTAATAGTTCAGAGAAAAATGTCTTCAATTCTTCGAATGCTACATCAATATTTGGTTCGAGCTCAGTTAAAGGAGCTACTCAGACATTTGGTTTAAATGTGGATAATAAATCAGCGGCATTAGTGACACCATCGGTATTTGGTGGTAGTAGTACCAATAATAGTACACCAACACCATTTAGTTTTGGCTCAAAGCCGGCAATAGCACAAACTACAAATTCTAATAACACCAATGCCGCTTCTGGAGGATTTTCTTTCAGTTCGGCAGTTTCGAATAGTTCCGAAGGTGGAACTTTTGGATTTGGTAGTAAAACAGATGGGACAACAAACACTTCTAGCAACACTTTTGGTGGCACATCTACATCTGTACAAAACAAAAACTTTACATTCGGTGGCGCTGCAAGCAGCAAACCAGCCAATCCTCCGAGTGTTTTTGGTGGAGCTGTGAATAAACCAACTGAAAACACAGCGTCTCCAGGCGGTTTTTCATTTGGTTCAGCCTTGGCCCCTAAAACTTCAACATTTAGCTTTGGAGCAAGTAGTAATTCTTTTTCTGGGAGCAATGCTAACGGCACAAACAACACTTCATCAAGTTTTTCATTTGGCGCGGCTGCATCTATAAAAACGAACGAAGTCTCAACTAATAAACCATTTTCCTTCGGATCTCCACAACCTCAACAACAGCAACAGCAGCAACAAATAATGTCAGCACCAAATAATTCAAATACCAATCCTCCCAACATTTTTGGTTCTAGTGTGACTTCTAAAACAGCACCAGCGCCTGCTTTTAGTTTTAATTCTGGTAGTTCGACAAATTTGCAGCCTAATGTTCCAGCGTCCAACAATTTATTTGCACCACCTCCATCAACTATTACAACAGGTCCTGGTGATCGCCCTATACGTCGAGCCACAAGACGTTTGCAAAAATGACCCGCAGATGTACTTTAAATTTTGTTTTTTTTTTTTTCTTATAAAAATAATACATAAATTCAAAAATAAATTAAAATCCTTCAATAATAGTTGAAATTTAATTCAATGGGGTGGATAACTCTGTAATTTAAATCGAAAAAAAAAACGTTTGAATTTGTGAGTATGTATGTATAATTGTTTGTTGGAATGAAGGCAAATCACCGTAACAGTTTGAATGGGGTATATTTTATGGTTGATATTCACATTTAATCAGATTTTCTTTATTTTCGACTTTTTTAATGTCGTCTCAGACTTAGTTTTTCTCGAATTTTTTCCGACTTTTTTACAAAATAGTAAGTTTATCGATTTTATTATAATGAAATAATCGACGTTTTCAATATATGTATGGATGGTAAAACTCTACCTCGAAATCGCTGGAATTTCATAAACATCTTTTATGTCGCACAATTTTTTCAAGTTATCATCACTTAGCTAAAGAAAAGAAAGACGAAGAGGAAAAAGAGACCAATGTATATTCAGAGATCTGCGACGATTCGGCTTAACGTCGACTAAGACTAGCCGCCGATAGGAATTCTTGAAAATTACCGCCTGATCCGCTTTATTGTTTTTAATCCAAATAATTTAATTTATTATATATTTAATACAATTTCACCGAAATGGTTTTTTCTGTTTTTTAAAACTAGTATTTTATTTTAAATCCATTTTCTCCCCGATACTGTATTAGAGACTGTAAATTGCTGTAAATAACTTTTTAAATATTGTTGTTTATATTATTAAGCCATGATTTTGGATGAACGCTGGTTTCGAAAAATCAAGTAAAATTTAATGTAGGAATATAGAAGTTCGAAAAAACGAAAAAAATTATTTATTTACTGCCTTATTCATAACAATTTATGGTTTATAGAACAAATTTTTTATGAAAAATTGCCTTATAAACCATTGAGAAATCATTATGAAATAAATACTATATAAATACTTTCAACTCAATAAACTTATAATTCTAGATTTTTAATTTAAAGAATATTTTTGTATCGTTTGAGATTTTCTATGAAATAATTCATTAAATAGTATTTTCAGAATTTAATCTTGCAATCCCGCTTTTTAATCACCCGGATCTCGCGTTTATTCAAAACCCATACAAATTATATTTTATTATAATCAAATTTTATTATGTTCTTAAAACTTAGCCGGCATAGACTCGATTTTAAGCCGCCTCAGAAATTGTTGATGTCAGCCGTCGTTAATGTTTGTCGGCGCAGGGCTCTGATGAATACGCCTTATATTGACTTAATAAAGTATTGCTGACAAATCTGTTCATAAATATATTTTGTTTTATTTTGAAATATTTCTTTTAAATGTTAATAATTTAAAAAGTGCAATAAGTAAAAGATAAGAAAAGTGAAACACAATTGTAAAAATTTGTGGGATGTATTTGAAAATTGATTGTATTTAATAATAAGTGATGTTTGTAAATTGCTGAAAATTGATTGGGCTGCACAGCAACATAAACCAGTCGCAAAGAACAAGTGACAAAGAATAAAAATAAAGGCGAGTAACACCCGGTTATAAAGGAAAACTCTTTAATTGTTTGCACAAAATCCCAAAAAATAAAATTTTCAGTTCATTTTGTCTGTTAGATACTAGATTAAAATGACTAATTTCCAAATATCTTGACATTTTTTTAAAACATTGTGTGCGAATTTATCTTGCAACAATAGAGAAAAACATCGCGTAATATTGAAGAAAAAATTATTGAAAATCAATTAATTACATACATAAAAATTCGAACTACAAATGCAAGTTCTTCTGTTTAAAGTCTCCTTTAATTAATTTATGCTTTTGTCTTTATTCCATGTACCATTTACTGAAAATTCATTAAAATTAAAGACTAGAACTTCTGAACGCACACAAACGCACACAAACATTCATACAACAAAGTACGCACGCATCGAACAACCGACACAAGAAAATTTCAACAACAACATAGCAAATCAAGTGGCACAGTGGGTCGAATAATTTGTAGCATTTATAACCAAGAGGAAAAACAAAAGTAAAAACGAACCCGCATCTTAAGAAGAGAAAATGACGGAATATAAACTTGTTGTTGTCGGTGCTGGTGGTGTTGGAAAATCTGCTTTAACAATTCAGTTAATACAAAATCATTTTGTCGATGAATATGATCCAACAATTGAGGACTCTTATCGCAAACAAGTGGTGATAGGTAAGTTTTCTATTTTCATATTCATACATGTACAAAGATATTATGCATAAGTATGGAGGTACGTATTAAAAATTGACCCCAGATGTTGGGGAAAAGATATGTACATTGGTGAAACATCTTTTTCGGTAACAGTAGTGAGTTGAAAGGTTGTTTTAAAAGTAAAAATGTCTTGACAAAACAGTGGTCGGAAGCAAAATGTTGGAAATAAATAAGATATTTGTTACATGCTAATCCCACGGACTTGACATAATGTAGGTATTACCTAGGAAAAAATAATTTTAATATTATATGTTATTCTACATATTCACTCCAAGTGGATAAATTATAAATAAATATGTAATTACCTACATAAATATATTGATAACACAGGCCAACGATAAAAAACTTTTTAAAAAATTTTCACTAATTCTAGTATTATTTGGAGTGCTGATTCCGAATATGGAAATAAAAAAGCCGTATCACCCACCAGTTTTCCGTATTTTCATCTTTTAGTCACTATTCAGGTGTTGCGAATAGTGGCTGTCTCTGCCTCCAGACTTAGACGTAAAGTTATAAAAATCCATTCTGAAAATATTTCGGGCCATAGAACTACGTTAACTAGTGCTGCCACGGCTCTGAAGTGGAAAGTGGGTTTTGCAAAAATTTTACCACTTAATTAATATTTTTCGATTTTAACAGAAAATTATTGAAATACATATTTAGTGTCACAAAACACTTAACCGAGAAATATTTTAAAAATTTTAACAAATTTTGGGTAATATTCTAAAAAAACCATGTCATTATATTAAATATATTCGTATTAACTACGTGTTAAATTTTATCCCCATTAGATAGCGTAAACCGTATATGGGGTGTAGTCATAAATGGGAAACCCTTCAGACGGCAGTTTCAAAAATCCAGTTTCAAAATTTTTACAATTTTGTTAAGTAAATTTTAAAATTTTAAGAAAATCTCCATGTGACTTATGTACAATAAATAAGGGATTAAAATAGTAAAGAAGTTAGATCGATATCTCTCATACATAAGCGGTAATTGAGATTTGAATTTTGAGGATTTCGGAGAAAATATTTTTTTGTTAAAATTTTTGAAAAACTGGCTTTATTATTTACTGTTATGCATTTTATACAAGACTTTTAAAGAATATATAATTCAAGAAAATAGGAAATACACATCTGATGTTTTAGTAAAATCGAAAAATGTTAACCCACAAACTGTGAAGGTCAAACTCAAGCTATACAATATTGGGAAATCCTCTTGAAATCATAGTGAAATATTATTTTGTTTTCAGCCGATTTAAATGAAATTTAGGATAAATATATAATGAAAACTCGTATTTATGATGGCGCCGACAAAAATCAAATTAACCCTTAAATGTAAATATATTTTTATAATTATATAAAATGTCCGTAATATATGAACAAAATATTCGATGTAATTTTGCAAGAAAATGGTGTGTGATAGAAAAAAACTAATTGCAGATTCGCTTATAGCATCTAAAAATACACAATTTATAGTCGAATTAGTTTTGAAATTTTTCACAAACCTTCCTTTCGTTGGCCTGTGTAATTATTAATTAATAATAATACATATTTTGAAAACTTAGCAGTTATTATTTCGTTCATATGTGCCATGTTTACAAATACATATTTATAAGTATCAGCCCTTATTTGTCCATCGTCCCATATTTTACTATTCCATAAAACTTTTTTATCAATAAATTGTTTAAATAATTCAAAATTAAGTAAAATTCAACATACGACTTTCTTAACTATATTATCTTAACAGTTTTTTTTTTAATTTTTAAAATTTTAAATTTCCAAAAAACGAAATAAATTTCCTATTTCAGCTTCCAAGCCTGCAAAAAGTGAGGAAAAAGAAGTAGAATTTTCACCACAAATAAGTGAAGTACTTCCAATTTTGGTGAAAAATTTATGAATTTAACATTAGCGTGTCACTGGTGGGATGTTGTTCGATTTTGACAACTTTGAACTACATCTATTTTTAGAAGCAGTAAAAATTCCATATTTGGATGTCTAAAATAAACCACATTCTTTCAATGACATGCTTATGTAAATTTCACTGGTTTTTCACCAAAGTGTCATGTACTTCGAATATGTTATTATTAGTTACTTTCCTACATCTCTTTCCTCCATTTTAACTGGACTTTTATTTTTAGGGAAATATTTGGTTTATAAAAGCAAAAAATATGTAATCGCGTTTTTGGATGTGATTAAGATGTCGTCTGTAAAGGATGACATCAATTATTTTTTGCTGGGATGTCGTTTGTAGAGTATGACATCAGTTATTTTTTGCTGGGTTATTACGTAAAAATAGCTGTAATTGTGGGTACTTTTGATCCAAAAAGGTTTATAAAATTTTATGAATTTTAAAAATTCCTAAATTTTGAGTTTATGAAGTAAAAACAATTATAAATTTTTTAGGGAACTTTTAATCAAAAAATACTTTCAGAGCATTATGGTGGACTTATGGATTTGGATATTTTTAAAATATGTGTCAAAATTTTCATCACTTTTATTCGTAATAAGCGATATTTTTATCGTAATAAGCTAAATACATTGAGTTTTTCTTTTCTTCTTAACATGGCTTGGTTATTTTAACGTTATTTAAAAAAAATCAAAATGATTACTACAAAATCAGAATGATTACTACAAAAATGTTTGAAAATTTGTTTTTTTTTTTTAAATTTGTTTCATAGGTTTTTATACCCATAGGTTTTGGGCTGATATTTGTAACGCACAAAAATATTGGTCCACCTTAAAGTATAGCAATCGGTTTAGAATCATTTTCTTAGTTGTTTAAGCAAATTTCAATGACATTTGGTACGCTTAATACTTTTAGCCCAAGGACGAGCCCTATTGATTTTGTTTTAAATCGATCCATTATTTCACCAAACCACAATTTGGGTTTTTTAGCTCTTAGTTATGTGTATCTCAACAAAAAGGGGCACAACTAAGTTTTATACTACCACTGACGACCCTGCCGAATTTTGTAATGATGATGTATTGTACACATATCCATCCATTGTGATTTTCATAAGGGATAGGTCATATTGGACCTATTCCATTCAAATTAAATCAGCTCACACCATGTGATATCCTACACAGTGTTTTTGATTTATTTTCATTGACTCTTTCATTGGGAAAAGACTTTTCTACACCATGCTACAAACGCCAAGAAAAAAGCAAAGCCAAAAAAACGACCTGTAGTGGTGCAGTGAAATGTTTTGTGCTAACGCAGTCAGCCACAGCAAATAATTTAAAACAATCGCTACTGCTTGCAGCATTTTTAGCACTTCTGTCTACTAATCAGCAGATGAAGAGGTGTTTTTATTTTCATCAGGTCTCCTAATGTTTTATTTTAGTAATGAAGTTTTCTTAACTTCTTAAGGATTTGGTAGTAATATTTTTCTTATTGCCGATGCTTAACAACTGCTTGCCTCCTCTGACAAAAATCCTCCAAAAATTTTTTTATCAAATTTCAATTTGAAAATTATTCGTGAATATCATAATTTTTCCACAAAAAAAAAAAAAAAAAAAAAAAAAATCAAGATTTCCCTCATTTTAAAATGACACCTATTTTTTGTCCAAGTCCGAAAGAAATTTAAATTAAAAATACCGCTAGAGGAAATGTAATTCTTTATTTTAAAAATCTTTTCCAGATTAAAAAATGCAAAAGTTTCCATATTGATGTAAATTTTCACGATTTATATCGCTTTTTATGAAAAAGTAAACCTTGTTTCATTTGTTTATTTTATATTTCAGACGGAGAAACATGTTTGTTGGATATATTGGACACAGCCGGACAAGAGGAATATTCAGCTATGCGTGATCAGTACATGCGTACCGGTGAAGGTTTTTTGTTAGTTTTTGCAGTTAACAGTGCAAAATCTTTTGAAGATATTGGCACATATCGTGAACAAATAAAACGCGTTAAGGATGCTGAAGAGGTTCCAATGGTTTTAGTGGGCAACAAATGTGATTTACAAGCGTGGGCTGTAAATATGAATCAAGCTAGAGAAGTATATTAAACTGAAGACTTAAATCATGTTTGTTTTTTTCTAAATATCTATCATACTATTTTTCTTTTAATTGTGCATACAGATAGCCAAACAGTACGGTATACCCTTCGTAGAGACATCAGCGAAAACGCGTATGGGTGTAGATGACGCCTTCTACACTTTGGTTCGTGAAATCCGCAAAGATAAAGAACACAGGGGGAAAAAGGGCCGCAAAACATATAAACACACAAATCGCAAATTCAAATGTGAGCTTCTTTAAATCGAATTCCTTCAACTATAAGGTGGTAGCACATTATCGTACATTGAACGAGAGACTACATAAATAGATAAGAATCGCGCAAACAAATGCACATTAACTAACTAAGCAAATGCTTCTGTGCATTAGTTATAAAACATCTGATGTCAGTGCTAATTATGATTTCAATAAAATAATTTTATTTAACATTTTTTAAGAACTTTGATAATACAAAATAAAAAATGTGTAAACTATTGCACAATCATTAAATTCATATTAAATTAATTAACAGAAAAGAAAAATCCTAAACGTCAACAAACAACATAACAACACTCGTATAAGTATTCTATTTTTCGCTCACGCACAAAGTAAAACAAAATAAAAAATATTTTCATATTAAAAAGAGAGAAAAACAAATAATGAGGTTTACATATTAAAATTATTATTTCATAATTTAGTTCGGTGCTAAATGTTTTAAAATAAATTTTATACGTTTTCATAACATATTTTATATATAATTTTTAATAACAGAAATATTTTATAATTTTCTTATGCTGCGACGCTAAATTTAATCTTCTTTGCCATATTTTATAATTTTAAAAATTATATTCATTGTGAATTTAATGTGTTTGTTTTTTATTGCTGCTCTTTTTTGTAAAGTCGAGTTATATTTCATTGAACTAATTATATTTCCTAGACTTAGGTCTGTATTCTGCCACCATTGGGTTGATTTTTTTATATACATACATTTAACATAATTTTATTATTAATTTGTGTCTTAATTTTATAATTATTATTATTATTTTTTAATAAATGTACACGTATTAACATTTTATGTAATAATTATTGAGCAAACAAAAAATGGTATATTTAATCGATAGAAAAACAATAATTAAAAGTTTATTTGTCTTATCATGGAAAATAAAGTCATTTTACAAATATTAAAGGATAATTTTATTTTAAATTTATATGAGTATCTTAACTAAAATATAATGCAATACATACATATCGTCCAATGCCTGTATTAGACACCAAAAACAATCTGAAGGGGTGCATTTGAAAATTCGTTAATTTTATGATTAAGAACAAGAACATCGTTTGAAAGCCGTTTTTAAAAAGATTTCAAAACTACTTTACTGAAATCTGATTTGATTTTTACTGACATTTTAAATAAATAATTCCTATTTAAATATCTGATACATATTTTTTTTAGAAATTCATACAATAAAAATATTTAGTCCTTATACATATTTACGACAAAAAGACAAACGTTATGAGCTTCCAAAGCAGCCAGCCTTCAAAGGGGAATGTGACCAATTTAGGAGGAAATACTTATTGCGTAGTATTAAATATTGCTGAAGGTAAGTATTGCGAAGTGTGTTAATTGTTCTTGCGAAAAACATTTTTATTTCCATATTCATTTTTAGGTGTCGGATTCGATCTAAATGTTGCTTATAATCATAGTATAATTCTTAAAGTTTCCCTCAATGGAGTACTATTTGAAGTAGTGGGAAATTCAATAAAAGCAAATGTTATTACATTTAATAGTAATTGTATTTGGGAGTGCGAATTGACTGATATAAAACGGTAAGATTTTTGCAAAGGTTTTCATATCGCTCATTTACTGCAAGACTGACATAATCCAAAAATTCGGGTTTTTTGAACCGAGGGCTACAAAACATGTGTCATACTAAAGTCTTTCATATAGATTTATCAAATTTCAAATATGTATGTTCGGTGTGAGATAGACTTTTTGCTGTAAACGTAAAAACTATCTCAACTAAACTCATGTTTTCACGAAAATTTGACAAATAAAAATTAAATTTAAATTTAGATGAGAAAGATATTAAACTCCGGTCATATGAAACATATTATGCCGGTCTTGTAGTAAATTAGCGTTATGTATATTACACATACATATGTATGTGTATGTATATATGTATACATAGCATTGTACCTTTAGAATGAAATCAGATAATCGTCCAGTAAAGTTGGAATGCTTTATTAAATACGATTGTTATGTAAATGGATCTATTAAACGTGTGGGATCATTATTATTACCGTTGCGTGGATTGAAGTTACTACATACTCTTGAAAATTTACAGGTATACTTATTTTTATCTTCATCCTAATTTGAGTCATTGAAATTTATATATACAAACGGATTATAAATTTACACACAATTTTATTCCGGTCGATATTGACATTACTTGTATGTGTTTTGTTTCGTCGGAAAATGAAAATTCTTTCAGAACTCCTTAATTCCATACCTGTAGTCTCTCAGACTCCAGCGTAACTGTTTTTGTCTATAACTTTTCCTATTATCTTCTTATCGTATCTTTCTGTACCTTCTGATCTCCGCCTATACTATCATGCCTGTGTTCATCTTTAATAATCTTTGAGTCTGAGAGACTACAGGTAGGAAATTACGTAACTTTTTTTTGTGTTCTAAAAGATTCCAGATAGGAAATTAGTTTTTGCTCCAAATGGGCTCAAATACACCTTCTAGCGCTTTAGAAATGTTTTTGGATTCTGGAAGATTACGGGTAGGTAATAAAGGAACTATATTGGAGTTCTAAATTGGATAAAATACAACACTTTTTTGCAATTTTATAGAAATTCGAAAACTTTGACCAAAAGACATGTAAAACGTGTAATATATAATTATTGCCTAGGATGCTTTTTATATTACTTGAAATAAATAAATATTGGACCATCTTCATAATTAATGATATTTCGGGGTTGTAAAACAGTTTTAAGTTTTAGTTAAAATATATCGTAAATTTTATTATTTTATAATAATTTTTATAAAGAAAGCTTTAAAAAAACACACTTTGTTTTTATTTATCTTTTTCTTCTGTAATTTTTATTTTATTGAGTTCAGAATATTGGAGTATGAGAAACTCTAGGTAGGTAATTACGTTACTGTTTACTAAGGGTAAAAGTAGAAATTTGTTTGTATTGTTTTTTAAAGATTGAATCAAAACAGTTAAAAAAATGGTTCCAAACCTTGTGTGAACAAAAAAATGTATCGGAATTTACAGAATAAATGAAATGAATCAATGAATTATAATCAGTGATTAAAATTATTAATATATTAGTAACCAAAATGCATATTTTCTCCTATGCATACGTATGTAATATTAAAATATAAATATATTTTATGAATATAATATATTTAATTGCTCCCATTCGAAATATTTCTAGTATTTTTGCTAAAAATATTTACCCATACAAACTATTGCATATTACAGCTTACAGACAAATATAAAATGTTTTCACATACAATATATTACGCAGCAACTCGCTAACATATTTATAATACCCACATATATTTCATATGGCTTGCCTATAATATTAAAATATTTTCCTACACAAATTATTCGAAGTCAACAATATTGAAGCCATACAAGCAGTAATATACGAACATGAAATGTACGCAAGCAGAGCATATATGTGCCGACGAAAACACGAAACAAAACGATAGTCGCCACTATCAGGTTACAATATTTTTACTATCAAACTTAAATATTATTTACTATAGGAAATGACTTATGGTCTAAAATTTAACATTTCATGTTGAACTTGAAAAATTATAAAATGTGAAAAATGTATGCAAGATATAACCAAATTTTATTTAGAAAATAATTTAAAACGTTTATATCTATGTATGTTTTATGTATATTATGGGAAAAATGTATGCATAAAATAACCAAATTTTAATTAGAAAATTTTTGAATTGAATTATTGAATGTATGTATTTATTAAATTTATGTTTAATTTTTATGTGGAGTATTAAAATGTATGTATTTGTATTGATTGTAATATAATTAGAAAAAAATTATATAAATACTTAGAGGATCATATGAATGTAAAAATATATTCAAATATGCAACACCATTTATATCTGGTTTTGTATATACATATGTATGTATGTAAGTATGTGTGAAACAATAACAAAAAACACATTCGTCATAAAAATGACCTGTAACAGCACTTTTCTTTCCTACTTTTCACGCACATTCCATAACGGTGGATTACGATAGGTCATTTTTTCCCTGAATTGGTGGAGGGAAGAAGATATGTACGTGTGATGCAAAAATACATTCGTCATAAAAATGACCTGTAGTAGAACTTCTCTTTCCTACTTTATCATTTTACGCACATTCCTTAACGATGGTTTACGCAAGATCCTTTTTTTTGCTTTACTTGAATTTGTGGTGGGGAGAAGAGGAAAGAAATATCATTATTATTTAGTCTCTCTCATGCAAATTCAAAAGGTTGGCAATGGCATATGCAAATTTATTAACACCTATATATTTTTTTCTTCGCGCCTGTTCATTCATTATTGTAAGATAATTGAGTGTATGTAATAATAATTTATAGAAATGTGACACATGCATATGAAAAACATACTTGTATATGTATGTAATACACTCATACATTTTTGTTGTTTTAACCTTTCACAATGTAAAATTACAAAAACAACTTTTTATGTTTTTAATTTTTTGCCATCCTGTTACAAATTTCTAAAATACCTATAATTTCCTTCATTATTGATCATTTCATAGACACTACTAATGCATTACTACCTGTTTACAAACTTATTGTCATCCTGTTACAAACAATATGTTTAAATATAGCCTGTAAAAAATTTTTTTTACATATATACATATTTGAATATATTTTTACATTCATATGATCCTCTAAGTATTTATATAATTTTTTTCTAATTATTTCTATTATTTCTAATTCTAATTATTTCTAATACTCCACATAAAAATTAAACATAAATTTAATAAATACATACATTCAATAATTCAATTCAAAAATTTTCTAATTAAAATTTGGTTATTTCATGCATACATTTTTCCCATAATATACATAAAACATACATAGATATAAACGTTTTCAATTATTTTCTAAATAAAATTTGGTTATATCTTGCATACATTTTTCACATTTTATAATTTCTCAAGTTCAACATGAAATGTTAAATTTTAGACCATAAGTCATTTCCTATAGTAAATAATATTTAAGTTTGATAGTAAAAATATTGTAACCTGATAGTCGCGACTATCGTTTTGTTTCGTGTTTTCGTCGGCACATATATGCTCTGCTTGCGTACATTTCATGTTCGTATATTACTGCTCGCATGGCTTCAATATTGTTGACTGCAAATAATTTGTGTAGGAAAATATTTTAATATTATAGGCAAGCCATATGAAATATATGTGGGTATTATAAATATGTTAGCGAGTTGCTGCGTAATATATTGTAAGTGAAAACATTTTATATTTGTCTGTAAGCTGTAATATGCAATAGTTTGTATAGGTAAATATTTTTAGCAAAAATACTAGAAATATTTTGAACAGAACCATTTTTTAAATATGCATATTTTTAAATATGAGGTAAATGCATATTTATTGCAAAGTCAAAAATAAAAATATAAAAGCATCTACTAATATTTAAACTCTGATTATAATTACAGAATAGAACGTATTTCGATCAGAATGTGTAACATAAATTATTGTGTGATAAATTACTTCTTTCAATTCAGAAAATAGGTAAAAACCATGGTTGTCATTATTCAAAAACAAAACACTCTCTTTTTAGATAAAGCCGTCTTGGTATAAATTAAGTAATTCAAGTCCCAAAGGTTTTCAAATTCCACCACAAATCTACCTTATGTTGTCAATTGTTAAGAAAACCTTAGCAGAATATATTCAATTTGAAACTAGAAGTTTAGACAAAGTATGAACAGTAAATTCTCACCAAACTTATTGTATACATACAGTGAACCAAACACAAAATTGTGCAGGCTTATATTAATTTTAAATTAAATAAAAAATATATTAAAAATACATAGCTAATTTTTTTTGATACCGATTTCATATCTCCGCCTATCCGGATAAGATGGCCTCGTTTCTTTCGTTTTTTGCCCGCCGCTGGATCTATTTTTATATAAAACACGATAAAATGCACATGCAGAATAAAACTGACTAGTTTTTTAATGTGTAAAATGCAAAATCGTAGAAACTTAAATTCTTTGTCCAATTTTGCGTTCGACTTTAAATTGTTAATGTTTTTGTTCTTTAATTTCTATAAAGTGAATTAATATTTGCAAATTTAAAAATTTTAAAATTTAAATTTTTTAATATATTTTTAATTTTTTTCCGATTTTGTGTTTGAGTCTTTGTAGTCAATATTTATTTTTAGCAAACTTTAATTCATTAATTTTTAAATAAAAAAATAGTATATTGTTGACAGTCCGAAAGGTAAGCCCATATCAACATCAAACGCTACTCAAACACAAAGAATGCTGCAGTCTCAATATGGAATTTTTGTGAAATTGCTAGAAGATGCTGGTCATATACAAATAGGCAATAATCCACAAATGGATTGCGACATTTTCTGTGTCACAATAACTTTTACCCGAATTAAACATTTGTTGCCCCTATTGAAAATTAATGAGAAATTTAATGAAATCAAGAAAAGATCGTTTGTTTTTCAATACGATTTTCTAGGAAGCATAACAAATATAGATATTTTTATAAATACAAACGACTGCTATACGATTAACCAAAAAATTTCATTAAATTTTCGATCTTCTTTGAAAGGACTTCGGTTATACTTTCAACGAATTTTTTATATTCCCATTAATTTATATTATATGAACGATATTGCCATAGCAAAGTATGATTTTAATATTTCGCCATTGCTCCCCGAAGAGGTACACTATTTTAATGAGAAATCTGTTAATTTGTGGACGAAATGCGGTTCATTCCATTTTGATATTTTCAATAATTTATCTAGTTCAAGTCCAAGACAACCGCCTTTAGTAGATTTTATGGTCACTTTAGAATTAATTACACAAAATTCAAAAAGAAACCCGTCTGCTATTTTACCTACCGCGGGGCAACTTGAGAACGCAGCAACAGAGGAAAATGGGATAAGTCAGGAGACTAAAGTTGGAGAATACTTACATTTATATAAAAATACTTTCGAGGAAGTCGCATTAAGAGACGTCCACTCAGAAGCTAGTAACGATGGTGGAACAAACTTTATATCCAATAAATCAGTTTGTGAGGCTGCAGTTAATACAGACGATCACTTTATAGTTCAAGAAAGAGAAAAACTGTATTTACATTTTTTACATGAATTTGAATATTGGAAGGAGAAGCAAATTAGACATTTCTCAAACGAAATGGCTCACACAAAGCAAGAGATACGAGATCACTGGGAAGATTATATAAACCATCTAATTGCTTGTCTTGAGACTAAAGTTTTGAAATGTGATAAAATGTTTGAACAGTTAGAAAAAACACAAACCGAATTAAATGATATAGCAGATATAAGCCTGAAGAATGCAACAATAGCAGACAACATAACACGCGAAATGGAATCTTTTTATCGAAAGAAAACTACTCAATTTGAAATGGAGCTAGAATGCTTAAGAAATGAAATTCAAGAAAAGGGTATGTATATATTAATTGTTTGTTATCAAAACAGGACATATTATATTTATTTTAGAAATCGAGAAGGTATTATTGAAGAAACGTAATGATCAATTGGAGAAGCAATTATCAATTTACCAAACTTGCCATTTATCTATAGATCAACTAAAGGAGGTTCTAAATGACATGGTACTTTGCATAAGTTTATCCATTATGTATTTATGTATATAGTACTAATATTTTGATCTAAACATATCGATATTTAGCTCAATCTAACATTTACTTTCTCTAAATGCAAAAGAACATTTTCACTCTTACAAATATATTGTGTAAAATTTTAGCCCAATCGGATAACTGGAAACCGTGCCGGGTTTGTTGTTTGCCCTTTGATATAAATGTTTTATACCTCGTTTTCTCTAGAAGATATGAACCCAGCAAAAAAATGTTGCACTAGTACAAAGTGAATGCAAGTTTCATGCCTTCCTAAATTCAACCTATTCCGCAGTTAAAAAATTCCTTAAAAACTTCAAAAATTAATTCAGATTGTTAATTTAATCAAATGAAATTTATGTGTTATTAGAAATATTTTTGATTATTAATATTATTTTATATATTTTCCCATATATATTATAATATTTTCCTTAAATATATTTAAAATATCTTCCAAAAATACATACAAAACAAATAGCTTGTACCGATGAAACCTATTGTTCACTCAACTTTACACTTTTCAATCCATTTTCGACATGGGTTCCCGTTATCCGTTTTAAACACTAATGAACAAAATGAGACCCATATGCAAAATCCATTTTTTTGGGCACCTCTAATATAGTACTTTCGTAAACTTTAAAATTATCTGTCGCATTCAAATACTTTTTTAAGCGTAACCAAGCTAACCGTTTTGGGGCAATAGAATGTTTCTATAAAGAACAGTGCTTTGATGATATGCACAAATGGAAATTGAAAATATTAAAGCTGCTTAATGAGCGAAATTTTTCCAGAAACTTTGATGTAAAGTAAGAAATGTAAAACAATTGGCAGGACAAAATTCAAAATGTTTTAAAATTCCAGTTTTAATTTGGAAGAACTGTTTGAGGAAATACTAACAATAAACCCAAATAATTTCGATTCATTTCAAGAATCCTCTGCCTGTTCCTTAGAATGCCCTTCTTCTGGTGGTGAATTTTTTGTTTAATGTGTTTTTAAGTAGTAATACTAATCATTTAAATATGTAAGTTATTGTTCAATTTGTATTATTATTTTTTATATAACAAATTATATACACACATACATATTTACATATAATGATCTAAATAGACGGAGTATGTACTACCAAGGAATAAATTTATGTACTATTTAATGCCTACACACCATAATATAAGTCGTTAAATTTTTATTATACTGCCAAAATAAAATGAAAATTGGTATGATTAAAAAAAAATCAATTGAAAAATATTTTTTGTTTCTATACTATCACATTAGAAATAAAATTGAAATTACGGATTTTCGACCATTTCGAAAAGATTGCAGTAATTTTTTTCTAACATGTTGTACTGAGATCAAGATTTTCAATCGGAATAAACTTGATATTTAGATTCATTTTAATCGTAATCAATTAATAATCACAAATTTTCTAATACAGAATTAATCATTATTTATAAAAAATAATTTAAATGATTATTAATCGTAATCAAAATTTTACAGCTATGATTCAAACAAATTCCAAGAAAAAACATCATTACCTTTTTTATATTTTTCATTTTATATTTTAAAATTTTGACATGTCGTTTTTTTGAGTCAGCTTAAAAAGCACTATTTATGATTTTATTTTTATGAAATAAGGTAAAACATCTAAAGGTGCAGAGTAGTCCATTATCCATTTCGGGCCTGTATATATTACATTGGTATTTCCATCTTGCCACGTTCCTTTGGGTAGGTAAATATCACGCTTAATAGCAGAATCTTCTACTACAGGAGCTGCTATAATATCATCACCAAGCATAAATTCTATAAACAAACAAATTAATATACTGAATGGAAATAAAAGAAACCATTATACTTACGATCATAAATTCCCTGTGCAGTTTTGTCTTCAGGGTCCGCCCACCAAAGTGGTGTATTAACTGGTTCACCTGTTGTTGCAGCTAGTTTAAAACGTTCCATAATTTTAGGCGTATAATCACTATGTAGCTTAGTGAACTTTTTGCTTATTTCAATAGTCTCATCATCGAAATTCCAAGGTACATAAGAAAACTGCAAACTTGGCATAAAAACGTTAGCTTGGAGCCATCTCAAAAATAATTGTTTTGTAGGGGGTTTGTTATTGTATCCATTGCCGCCTATCATATCGGGTAAAACAAATGGATAGCCATTCAAATTCATTTGCAATAATGTGGTTATCAATGTCACTAAACCATTTTCCCATTTCCATTCCGAATCTTTGTCTATCATTCGTACAAATATTGGTAAGTCTTGTGTACCTTGTCCAGAACGTACTTCGACCATTGAACCGAATGATCCGACTGTACGTACATAGTCTCTTGTAATTTGACTTGGTGAGAAATTACTCGATGCATTCAAAACGGGATCATCAGGCACCCAACTGGACTCTCCAGCATCGAATTTAAAGCTATCAATACCGTCTTCGGTTTGCAATCTTCGCAAACGCTGCTTAAACCAGTCCTGAACTTCAGATTTTGTAAAATCTACATATGCAGCCTCACCAGTTTTACTATTCCACCACTGGGTATCAGGATTTTTGTTATGATCTAATACTAAATATCTAAAGAATAGAGAAGGGATTATTATATGTTTTTATGCTTATTTCTAATTTATTTTCAATTACCCCTTTGAAAGTGCGTCATTGTAAGTTTGTTGACAGTCTTTATTTATAAACGGATGTATCCACAAGGTAACGCGGAATCCATCTGCTTTTAAATCGTCGGTTAATTTTTTTATGTCAGGAAATTTACTCTTTCTGAATGTTAATGCACCATAACAATCCTCCCAGTCGTCGTCAATTTCCAATTGACTGTTTTCGAATCCCAACGATTTAATTTTATCGGCAAACTCTCGAACAATTTTATCATCGATATCGGCTTTATATAGAGCCCAAGTGGACCAAATTGGGTATTGAACCATACGTTCATCGGGATATTCATTCGGATGCCCCAAAATATTTTTTACTGCATACATATGCGCTGTTTTTGCATTGCCGGCTACACCGATGTGGTAAATGAAACTCACTTCACTCATTCGAACATCATAGGGCAAGGATTTAATTGCAGAGAAACATAATTTATTATCATATCCTTCAGAGTTCTGTTCGATAAATAATGGGGTTTCGTCCTCTACGTAGAAAAACTTTCCATCCGAATTCAACCAGTACCGCTCTGCTAAACCAGCATTGTGATCTTCTTTTGTTAGATATGAATAATTAGTAAACACTTGCCGCTCTACTGGCCAATATTGATGGCGATCTTCTGGACCTGCATACCAATGAGTGTTACCAATATTTAAACTAATACAATCCATAGGTTGGCTAGAGCCCACAATATTGTTGCGAATAATGCGAACATGTGTTACTCCATCATTCGATGTTATCAATTCGAATTCTACGGTATTCGAACCATCAGTCAATTTAAACATTCCATCCGATGTTGCTTCCAAATTGTTATTTGTGATGAAATTTTCAAACGTAACAGTTTGCAACTCTTCTGAACCTGGAATATATATTGAAGTTATTATAGTTTAAAAAAATATAACTACATACATTTAATAGTGTATAACACCTGTTTTTAAGATGACGTTGTATTAATTATTATTATATTATTAATTAAACATACCTTTTAGTATTTCATATTGTAGTTTTGATGTAGTTCTTTTTAGTCGTATAAAAATATCCGTATTTGGAAAGTTATAACTCTGCTCTACACTTCTACAGCACTCTATGAAAGGAAATAGGCCCGTAACAAGTATCAATGTTGCAATACCCACTATTTGAAACATTTTATTACATTTCCTGATGCATTCAATGAATGTTAGTATGAAGTATATACAAATATAATAGAGCTTATAGTTGGGAAGATTTATAATAATTATTTTCGATTTTAATTTTGGTTCCGTATTTATTAGGCTTTATATACCTTTATTGAGAATATTAAATATTGTTTTTTTTAATATCTCAAGTATTGGCTCTCCACTTGTAATTATTTGTTTGTTTGTTTTAAGAATTGTTATGATATGAGATTTAATATAGTGACAAATTATTTCGTTTTACGTACAAATGTACATATAAAAAACAAAGCCAAACTAAAATAACTTAATCATTATCAATTTTGCATGCACATTTTATTTCAATATATTTATCAGATCGCGTATAATTACTATATGAATATATTAAGGATATACTGAGTTCATTGTCTCAAATGAACTCAGTACTTCCATTTAAATACTACGAGCACAATTTTGAAATAATTAATTTTTTGAAAAAGAATGATTCCACGTAAATGTCAAACAATCGTTTTTAATCAACATTGACCGTTTCGAAACAGTAATTTATTTTCGGTGTCGATATTGTAGCGGTAACAGTTGTGGGTTGGGTATACTAAAATATTAAAGGCTTAAGAAAACTTATTGATTCTCGTTTTCAGCAATAACTTTCTATGTACTCAGAAATAATATTCTCAATTTAAATGACCAAAATTAAGCAAAAATTTGTTATAATAGTAAAATTGCTTTATTCCCGAAAAAAGGTATTTTCGACCCACCCTAATGTATATTTCTTTATCAAGTGCTTATATAGCATCATCTTATGCTATACATACTAATAAGTACTAAATCTGTGTAAAAATATAGTAAGTATTTACTTAATTTATACTTGTTTATAAAAAAAAATATTTTATATTTTGATTATTTTTTATAAAATTTTTGCAGTTGCATTTTAGTGGTTCATGAACAGATAGATGCCACTTATTGGAAAGGTGATAATCAGCAAGTTAAACGCGGGCATATTTTTATTGTTTATGAAATATTTTGATAATGATGGAATATGTATTATACAGGCCAGATTGTTTCGATAAATGAATATCATTTTAGAGTTCCAGGAATATAATTTTAACAATTTTCCTCTTTTTTATAAAGAATTATAAGAACGTATTTAACTTTCAGTGTTAGTTTGTTCTTTATTATTATTATTATGGTTATTTATTGTAATATTTTAAAGCCACATTTGGCCATTAATATTAATACATACATATTAATAATACATATAATTAATAATATTACCGAGTTTAACGAGTTATTTATAATTACAAGTAAAAACTAAAAACTATAAACTATGGCCCCCAGCCAAAAAAAGTAGCATAAAAGATATTTGAATATGTAAAACTCACAAAAATTGGTATGGTCCTTGTTAACGATAATTCCGTTAAAGTAAATTCAAAAGGAATGTGATATTTGTCCAGTTTACAACATACGTTATATTGTTACATCATTGTAAAGAAAATATCGTTCAATAAAAATATTAAATGAAAAAATACAACAAAAAATATAACAGCAGTTATGTAAGACGGATTTATTCATTCCCAGTATTCTCACAAATATACAAAAAAAGTTTTTTCTTAAAAACGTTTCTTGAATATGAAAAATTTCCTAAGAACGGGTTTCTGAGATGGTAATCAAATGCCAATTAATAATCAGATTTGTTAATCTAAAAATAAATTTAATCTTATGTTAATCCCCTTTGATGTTTTTGAGTACAAGATTAAACTTCGTAGTGTTGCCATACAAAACAACAGAAAACTTCACTGTTTGTTATCAAAACAATGCATATTTTATAAAAAAGAAGAAGAAAATTGTAAATTTAATATGAAAAATAATGAAAACTTAAATTAAAAACAAAAAAAAATGTATTTTGAAGTGTCCATAATTTATACTAATCAATAAATAGAACATTTTAATGTTTATATTTATTTTATATATTTTTAATTTTTTTGCATCAGCTGTTTACACTTTTGCATTTCGTGCTTAAGATTAAACAACCTCCATTGGGCGCTTAAACTTGCAAACAAAATTAACTAATTGAGTACTCAAAAACATCTTTCGAGGATTAATTTTAATATAATCGCTAATCTTTCACCTAAAGATTAGCCCTAAGAGCGGGTTTTTGAGATGGTAATCAAATGCCAATTAATAATCAGATTAGTTAATCTAAAAATAAATTTAATCTTATGTTAATCCCCTTTGATGTTTTTGAGTACAAGATTAAACTTCGTAGTGTTGCCATACAAAACAACAGAAAACTTCACTGTTTGTTATCAAAACAATGCATATTTTATAAAAAAGAAGAAGACGATTGTAAATTTAATATAAAAATTAATGAAAACTTAAATTAAAAACAAAAAAATGTATTTTGAAGTGTCCATAATTTATACTAATCAATAAATAGAACATTTTAATGTTTGTATTTATAAAAATTTTATAATTTTTTTTGCATCAGCTGTTTACACTTTTGTATTTCGTGCTTAAGATTAAACCACCTCCATTGGGCGCTTAAACTTGTAAACAAAATTAACTAATTGAGTACTCAAAAACATCTTTCGAGGATTAATTTTAATTTAATCGCTAATTTTTCACCTAAAGATTGGCCCTAAATGTCTAGGCAATTTATTCCAAAGACGAGATACTCTTACTAGGAATGATCGTTCAAAAATAGGAGTGGAAATACGAGGTAGGATAATTTGTACATTTCTGCTAGACCTTGAAAAGCAAAAATTATCACGTAGACTGGGTGGTATTGAGGTAGTAAAAAGTCTATACAAAAATATCAATAGTCTAAAATTTACAAATTTACGAAATGTGCATCCCAAGAACCTCACAACATATGGGGTGATATGTTCTCTTATCCCCACATTAAAAACAAAACGGATAATCATGTTGAGGATTTTTTCCAATCTTGAAAAATATGTATAGTTAGTACCTACATATTTCTAAAATATATCACAAAAATGTAATAGAATTATTTATTTTTTTTAATACATTCATCTAAAAATATCGAAGTAGATTTCTGTGGCATGTTCAGTTGGAAGAATGTTTTTAAATTTTTAACAACTTTAATAAAGTTTAATTTTAAATTTAACAGTTTTGTTATTGGATGAACTTCAAACAAAATATTAAAAATGAGATCTTGTGTATACAAATATACATTTATTTATTTTAAATTAAAAAAAAACTTTATTTGACTAAAATATAAAATCTATAGAAAGTGTTTATCATTTTAAATTATAAATTATACATTAATTGATTTCCAATTTTAATTGAGTTAACTTTTCATTAAGAACAGTGTCTTCCTCTTCCTCGGCTTTAAACATTTCCTAAAAATATTAATAAATAGAAATAGGAATTATGTACATTTATAAATAATCGATAAGTATAATTTTAAACATCTTTAGGTACTTACTGGATCATAAATAACTTTTATGATTAAAGAACAACTGGGACAAATAGCAACTTCTTCGCCTTCTATTAGCTCTTCCTAATTTGTTAATAAGAAATTTATTATAATATTATAAACAATTTTATTATGGCCGGTTACGTTATACATACTTTGGAAATCTGAAACCTGTCACCACATGGGCACGGATAGTAGTACATTTCCTCTTCCTCATCATATTCAAAGTCTTCTATTTCAACTTCGTCGTGATATACACTCATTTTATATAATCATTATATTATAAATTAAGATATATAATTATTTTTTACGTTTACTAGTGCTTAGTCCTAAAACTATAAAAAAAAAACAAAACATGTAAACACGTTGTTCTTGCAGATGGATAATCAAAACAAAAAATGAATCACAACTACAAAAACCTGAAATACAATTAGTGCGATTAGATACTTACGTACATACTGTTGAGGTACACATTGTATGTATGAACATAGCTTCTCTTCAGATATAACGTACATACATATGTATACATATGTGTATAAATAAAACCTAGTTTAATTGCCAAAGTATTTATAAAATAACCCAATTTAATTTCAAAATTTCGAATAAGTAGTTATAGGATAATTAAGATATTTTTTAAAATATTTTTCGCTCGTTGCTTTTCGCTGTTACTACAATTATAGCTCAATTTTTGACATTTGTTTTTGTTAACTTTCTGCGAACATACTTTTTGTAGTATGCAAATGGTACATAAATAAAATGGTACCATAGACTTAGTACTTATTGTGTAATTTAAATAAAAATGGAATTAAATATATTTTGATTCATTTTTGGCATATGCAACATATTAATTAAATATAAAAATAATAAAATAGAGTAATATAATAATATGTATGTATGTATGTATATACATACATACACATATATGCATATGTATGTACGTATGTTTATGTATTAGGTACTTTATAATCGCTTTCAGCTGTTTAGGGTTAAATTAAAGCCCATCACTATGGATTCTATAAAAACTATCAAAACAAACGAAACGATTGTTTTATATTAAAAGAAAAAATAGTGAAAATAGTAAAAATAAACAAACAAAATAAAATACTATGACATCTAAAAAATATAGTGAAGTAAATTTTTACGCAATTTTGGGCATTGAAATTGAGGCAGATGAAAGTACTATTAGAAAAGCTTACCGCAAAAAGGCTTTGGAATGCCATCCTGATAAAAATCCTGATAATCCCAAAGCAGCAGAATTGTTCCATGAACTTTCTAAGGCATTGGAAATACTTACCGATAAGGCGGCGAGAACGGCGTACGATAATGTTTGGAAAGCAAAGAAGGCGGCTGAGCTCCGCAATAAGCAATTGGACAGCAAACGACAAAAACTTAAAGCTGATTTAGAAAAGCGAGAACGTGAGTTTCAGAATAATTTACAATCGGGCAAAACGTTCCAAACAACACACAAGTCCGATGAGGACATTTTACAAGAACAGATAGAAAGGTTGAGAAGAGAAGGATCTCGGCTTTTGGAAGAAGAACAGGCCATGCTAAGGGAACAATTACAAAAATCCTTAGCTGAACATATGCAACTGCAAAATAAAAATGATTCAACATATCGTCTGAAAATCAAGTGGAAAGCAGAGAAAAAGGATCCATTAAACGGTGGATATACTAAAGAAAATATTATAACGTATCTAAAAAAATATGGAGATATTGTCGCTTTAGTTATGAGTAAGAAATGTGGCAGTGCTCTGGTAGAATTTAAAACATTAGAGTCAGCTGAGATGGCTCTCGCTTATGAAAAGGGTTTAGTGGAAAACCCATTAAATATTGAATGGATTACACATCCACCATCAGATATAGAAAATCAAAGAAAGACAGCAGTTACCACAACAGATTATGAGGATTTGGTTATGAGGAAATTAAGGCAAGCTGAAGAACGTAAAAGGATAATAGAACAATTACAAAAAGAAGATTTATAAGCTATTAGAATACATTTTCTAATGTTTGATAATATATACATATGCATATTTAAATTATAAAATTACTGTTTCAATATTCTTGACTTACCTATATCTTTTTATACCCTTCAAAGCATATACACATAAATATGTATAAGCTAGTTATTCCATTTGCAATTTCTACTATATAATTTTGCAATCCTATTAAGTGTATATTAGGGTGTCCCGTGGACCATTCTTTTGTAGAAATACTTCTCCAACGCACAAACCAAGAAAAATCAAACAAATTTGATTTTTTTCCAATTTGCTCTGAAATTTTAATATCTGGCAATTCCATTTTTTCAAATTCACAAACCACAAGATTTACTTTAGGATGTCCCGTAAAACGATGCGTTTCAATGTACTAAATACGAGAAAAATGAAAAACATTTTTTTAAAGGTTCTCAGTTCCCTACCGGCGATTGAAATTCTTGATCTCAGTATAATATGTTCAAAAAAAATTTTCTGCAATCTTTTCGAATTCCGTAATTTTGAGCTTTTGTTAGTGTATTCTGGTCCGCAAAATTACTTTTATTGTATTATAAGTGGCATATTAATTTCAAAAATATTTAAAAAATTCTTAAATGGACTAAACCAAATGCCAAACTATTTTTTTAATAATTTTCTATATGAGCGAAAAATTACGACAATTACCCCATTTATACCCATTTCGATAAAAAGCGAAAACAATATGCCTCTCCAAACCACTAAAAATCATTTTATGGACCAAAATTATTCTACAAAAATTTTAAAGTTATTTTTCCCGTAATCAGCTTAAAATTTCGGAATTTTTGAGACCAATTTCGAAAAAATCGAAAATATTTTATTTTTCACAAATTATACTGAGGTCAGGATTTTCAATCGCTGGTAGGGATCTGAACCATTTCAAAAAAATATGTTTTATTTTTCTCATGTTCAGTACATTAATACGCATCGATTGAGTGGTATTACTACATGAAATTCCTTAAAAGGTTGTTCCTCGGGACACTCTAATGTACATATACCCTGAAGATATGGTTGGGACAATACCGAGTAACCCCAACCAATTTAGAGGAACTTTGGCAACGGGTTCAACGTAAGTGGGAGAATATTTCAAATAGAAAAAGAAAATTTTATACACTGAAAAAATTCATAATATATACGAAAAATGTCGTACATTGTACGAATCTTTCGTTGTTTCGCACCACGAAATTCTTTCGTAATTTATACGAAATTGTACGAAATATTTTAGTATAATGCAAAATAATATTGGAAAAATTAATTTAAATAAATTTAAAAAAGTGAATTTTGAATAAATATGGTAAAATTTTCGAAATATTAATTTATGCAAACATTTTTGTTCATTTTAAAATAATTTTTCTAATTTTAGTTAAAAATTATTCTCCACACGAATTTTTATTTTTTTATGAAAATAGTTCGTGAATTATATTATACTTTTTCTTAATTTTTATAAAAATGTTGTAGTTTTATTTAACGATAATATAATTAATATCATTATGTTTAATTTCGCTAAAATGTAAGAAAAAAAATATTATGAAAGGTTTTCGTACTTTCGTAAAAATAGTAAAGGGTCTTATTAAATAATATTTCGTATTATACACGAAATTTTTGTAAATATTACGAAAAAAGAAGTTACGAATTTTTTTTTTTCGTAAAGTTGAGCATGAATTATTTTCAGTGTACATACAAATGTCGGATTTTCTAAAAAATATGAACCATGGTAGAAAAATATTTTTCTACCATGATATGAACTATGCTAGCCTTCCCTTACATACATACATATGCATAAATCTAATTTGTTTAATTCCGAACTGAATTCATTGAATATTTTTATTTTTCAATAATTTCTACAAGATACGAGAATGAAACAAAATACATACATATTTTATTTTTCGGTAGACTTTGCAGCTACTACTCTTTCCTTTTTTTATTTACTTAATTGTATTGTAATTGATAAATAATAATTTTTTTGTTGCCATTTATATATTCACCTCATATCTTTGTAGTTTAGTTTTGCACTGTATTAAAAGAAATTTTTAGATATAAAAATGTAAACAAAAACAAACGTTGACAGCTAAAAATAAAGTAAAAATATCAGCTGATTGCATAACACCACCTTATGTGAACTCGCCTTGTTCACTGTTAAACAGTGTGACCATATGTCAAGTTTTCCATTCTTAACAGAAGTTTTTTAATTCATACAGTTCCATTTTTCAATTCGAATAAAAATAAGTTACTATTATATTAAAAAACACAAAAAAGCAAAAATATGAATAATTTTAATTTGTCGACTTTATTCGATTCGAAAAATTTCGACTAATTTTCCTAGAGTATTTTCTTTTAGTACACAATTTTTTTCTTGAGCGCCTTGTCGACACATCAAATTGGTCATAGCACAGCCCCGATATAACCACTTAACATACGATTTATGGTGGCACCCAAGATATATTAATTATAAGGTAGTGTCGTCGGCGAATTCAGAAAAACAGAGCGAATTCATTTTATTTTTTATATATGGAGTTTGACAGTATGCCTACACTTAAAAGTGGCAGCACACTGTCAAAATACATGTAAAAAAAATCAAAAGTGTTTTAGCAAAAAACAATCAGCTGCTCTGTTAACACTACCTTATAATTAATATACCATGGTGGCACCTAGCAACCGACTGACCAGGTGACTAGCTATTTTAACATGTGCTTGTCCTACGAGGAAGTCAATCGTCACTAGGGTTCTATAAATCGACGAATAATCGAACAATCGACTTTTTGTCGAAAAGTCGAAGTCGACTATTTTGTTCCAAAAAAGTCGATAACTCGACTATCGTCTGTGAAAAAAGTCGAAAAGTCGACTTTGTTAATAAAAGTCGAAAAAAGTCGAAAAGTCGTTGTTCAAGTTCGATTTATGGTTTACACTTGTTTTGATAACATATGCAAATACTATTTTTTGCAACGTTAGAATCTTATTAAGCTCCGCTTTATTTACAACTTTGTTGGAAAATTCTAACGAGTAAACCGTTAACGGTACCTAAATATTGTTTGCCACCAATCTACGTTTTGTAAATTAAAAAACACTTCTTTTCTGATCGTCAACATAAGCACTACGTGCTCTTGGCGTTATTGCTTCTACGAGGTAAAATAATAATAATAAATAAATACAGAGAGATCTACGTCTCATTAAATTTGCAAATATTTTGTTTTATTTTCATAAAATCTTGGGAAATTGTGGTGGAGCTGAACATTTGGTCCTTCGAACCGGATTTTTGTGTATCATATACGGATTTTTGGCATCTTCACTCCATCATCCCTTGGAAAACATACAGTCCACCGAAGATATATTTTTTATTAATTTTTACGAAATTTCTACGAAATAAGGTACGTAAATATATTTCAATTGTGAGCAAGTGATAAAAAATTCTATAGTTGTTTCGCGATCACACACACATATTTTTTGTGATTTTTCAATTGGTTTAACTTGTTGTATTTGTGGATATTTTGCACTAATTTTAACTTTAATTTATATCAAAAAATATTTAAATTCTTTTGATCTTACGGACAATAATTTAAAGCGATATTGTTGATCTTATTTTATTATAAATTAGTGTTTCATTACATTTCCTTTGTGCGTTTGTTTGTTTACAGATTTACATCTGTAAATTCTACAAACAAAATACATTACGG